ATCCGTGCTGCCCCGACTGCCTCTGTGAACGCCCTGCAGACCCGCGCTGCTTCGGACCATGCTATCCCCAACCCTACCCTCGCCAACATCGAGAAGCGCTGGGAGGGCATGCCCCCTCAGGAGCAGGCCGAGCTCTGGATGCAGCTCCGTGACCGCATGAAGACCGACTGGCACCAGTTGACCCTCCAGGAGAAGAAGGCCGGTACGTGATATTCCTAGAGCGGGAGGTCTTGAAAGACGGCCTTTCGCTTCGACTACCCTGAGCCTTCCGAGGTTATTTGTGTCGGGGTGGCCCGAACCCTCGAACAATCACAATTGTCTTTATAAGTAGTTATCTTTCGCTGACTGGAATTCTTTCCTTACTACAGCTTATTACATTGCCTTCGGTGCCCACGGTCCCCGCGCCCAGGCCCCCAAGGGTGAGGGCTTGCGCGTGTTCGCCAAGGTTCTCCAGCTCACTGCCGTCTCCGTTGCTCTCTTCTACGCCGTCCACGCCTTTGCCGGCAAGCAGCCCGGCACCATGTCCAAGGAGTGGCAGGAGGCCTCCAACGAATATGCCCTGGTACATATCCCATCACCCCTTTTCCGATCGCAGTCGGGAGAAGTCTCTGCCCCAGACAAATTGGACGATGCTAACCTATCCGACTACAGAAAGAGAAGATCAACCCTATCCACGGCATCAGCAAAGAGGGTTATGAAGGCAAGGGCTTCGTCCAGAGCCCCCCTGCCGAGAAGTCATAGATGTACTAGCTGCCCGACCAGGAATGATTTGATATCTACGCACGGACGGCGACACCCATCGCACGACCTAGAAGTCGATTTTCTTGCCAGCTACTCTTTCTATAGCCATGTTCGACAAGTCTTTGTATCGGAGGATGGATCTCCGCCCGTGCGCGCGGCCGTCGACTGTTCCCCCATTCTATCTTTTTTGGCAAGCATTGGAAAATGCGTGTATCCCGTACTGTGCTATAATCAATGTATCTCTTTTGTAGCCATAGAGCCTGAGCTTTTGATGAGTATAAAGATCTATAAAAATACCTGTAATAGTTCCCTTGCACCGACATGGTGTGGTCTACGGAGTGAATCGGAAGCCAACGTAAGTGCGGAGAATCCCTGCGGGAACACGGTTTCGAGGGTATATAATAAGGGTTAGTTCGATGTTTTAATGGAGGTTATGAGGTAGAAAATAATATAAATATAAACCAACATTATGAATTATAATTATAATTATAACTATAATGAACATATTTAGCTTCAGAATAGCATTTAGTGTATTTTCCTACTATAACTAATAGGCCAGTTCTATATTTTCGACCCGGAACTGGTTGACCCCCCAACATGTCAGAGTTTTTCCGATATTCGGACCAAAGGGCCATTGACTTTCATGATATATACTTTGGATACCATTGAAACACCTTAATTAGCAACTTACTTCCCTTAAAATATGAAGATTTCCAAGCTTTCTCCCGGGGAACGATGTCATTTAGAAAAGAAAATACGCTGTGGCTCCCCTGCACCCGGCCGCCAAGCCCCGGTGTGTGTGCGCGAATTCCAGGGCAACGGGCTGAGCTCTCCCTCGGTCACCACCTCACCACACAAGATTGGTATCAATGGGCATCTAAAATTGATAAAGATGAAGATTTATATCTAAAAAACAATTCTAAATTAGAAAATCAAGCTCTTTTCCCTGTAGAAAGCTCAAGTTGGTGCTCGGTTCATCACGGGATCGTCGGCAAAACCGCCCCGGAAAGGCTAAGGGCGACCAGTCCCCATCCACCAACCTCTTCCCTTCCTCTTCTTCCCTCTTTTCCCGTTCCAACCTCACCTCTTCCTTTCATCACATCTCGCTCTTCAACACCGTCATTATGTTCAAGAGGTATGATTTGATCATCAATCCAATCTTCTTCTCCTTTTCATTTCGAAACTAATTTTTTTATTCTCTCTAGCGGTCTCGCCCGGTCCTTTGGGAGGGCTGCTTTTGCCCGGACGACCCCCGTCGCCCGCGCTTTCCAGCCTATCCGCTCCAATGCTCTCCCGGCTCTCACTGCCCGTTTCGCTAGCTCCGATGCTTCTTTGACTGGAAAGGTTCACCAGGTCATTGGTGCCGTCGTTGACGGTACGTGTTGTCGACTCCTGACGGAATGGGGACCACGCGAAAATCTTTTCCCTGGACCCAATCCATCACCGAAACCATCGCAATCAACCCCAAAATCATCAACAAAACCGTATCTGACTTTATATTCGCCATATTACAGTGAAGTTCAGCGGAGAGAAGCTCCCTGCCATTTACAACGCCATTACCACCACCAACAACGGCCAGAAGCTCGTTCTGGAGGTTGCTGTACGTGATCTGATTGGCTGAACCTTGATTCAAATCCGCAACACAAGCTAACAATGACCTTCTAGCAACACTTGGGTGAGAATGTCGTCCGTACTATTGCCATGGACGGTAAGCTTCATACCCCCCTTCCTCACCCCCTTTCTTGGGCCACCGTGTCGTTCCCTACCCGATCGGGGGACCCACTGAGCTGTGGCCCTACTGTCTATGAGAGCTTCAACTAACGTCATCTAAAGGTACCGAGGGTCTCTCCCGTGGTGTCATCGCCGAGGACACTGGTGCTCCCATCACCATCCCCGTCGGTCCCGCCACTCTCGGCCGTATCATCAACGTCACTGGTGACCCCATTGACGAGCGTGGTCCCGTCAAGGCCACCAAGTTCGCTCCCATTCACGCCGATCCCCCTGCGTTCGTCGACCAGTCCACCTCTGCCGAGATTCTTGTCACCGGTATCAAGGTTGTCGACCTGCTCGCCCCCTACGCCCGTGGTGGTAAGATTGGTCTCTTCGGTGGTGCCGGTGTCGGTAAGACCGTGTTCATTCAGGAGCTGATTGTAAGGATTTTCCTCTCTTTTAATTGCATTGCAAAATTGGATAAAATGGCTTATACTTTGACCTATTTAGAACAACATCGCCAAGGCCCACGGTGGTTACTCCGTGTTCTGTGGTGTCGGTGAGCGTACCCGTGAGGGTAACGATCTGTACCACGAGATGCAGGAGACTGGTGTCATCCAGCTTGAGGGTGACTCCAAGGTCGCCCTTGTGTTCGGTCAGATGAACGAGCCCCCCGGTGCCCGTGCCCGTGTTGCCCTGACCGGTCTGACCATTGCCGAGTACTTCCGTGACGAGGAGGGTCAGGATGTGCTGCTCTTCATTGACAACATTTTCCGTTTCACTCAGGCCGGTTCTGAGGTGTCTGCCCTTTTGGGTCGTATCCCCTCTGCCGTCGGTTACCAGCCTACCCTGGCTGTTGACATGGGTGTCATGCAGGAGCGTATCACCACCACCCAGAAGGGTTCTATCACCTCCGTCCAGGCCGTCTACGTGCCCGCTGACGATCTGACTGATCCCGCCCCCGCCACCACCTTCGCTCACTTGGACGCCACCACTGTGTTGTCTCGTGGTATCTCCGAGTTGGGTATCTACCCCGCTGTCGACCCTCTCGACTCCAAGTCCCGTATGCTCGACCCCCGTATCATCGGTGACGAGCACTACAACACCGCCACCCGTGTCCAGCAGATGCTCCAGGAGTACAAGTCCCTCCAGGATATCATTGCCATTCTCGGTATGGATGAGTTGTCCGAGGCTGATAAGCTCACCGTCGAGCGTGCCCGTAAGCTCCAGCGTTTCCTGTCCCAGCCCTTCGCCGTCGCCCAGGTCTTCACTGGTATCGAGGGTACCCTTGTTGACTTGAAGGACACCATTTCCTCCTTCAAGGCCATCATTGCTGGTGAGGGTGACGACCTCCCCGAGGCCGCCTTCTACATGGTTGGTGACATCAACGCCGCTCGCGCCAAGGGTGAGAAGATTCTCGCTGAGCTTGAGAACAAGGCCTAAATGTAATTTTGTCATTTGCTAGCTAGCGCCGTCTTAACTTCCCCCTTCCATCTTCAAGCTCTTCCTCTCCTTTTCTTTTTTCCTCTTATCCCTCACCTATTCTCTATTGGTTCTCCCAGTTTCATTTTAATTCCCTTTGTCAGAACACTCAAAATGTTCCAACGTTGTACGCGACAACATAATTTTCCCTTTTTCGAGGCGTGTATATTACCATGTACATTACCCGATCTAAGAGAAAAGCAAAATGCAACAAGGAAAGGGATTTGATTTCACTTCTATTTTGCACTGCATCGTCGTCGCTCAACGTTGGAATACCCTTGTTTCGTTCTCTCTAGACTCGATCCGAAAGGAACCCGAGCAAGGGAATATGAAATGTCTGGTGATGGACTGAGGGCTGAATCGTGGTGTTGGGGATTTGTGAATGAGGAGTTGGGGGTTACTTGGTGGTTTGGGGGAGGTTGATATGCGTTCGTCTATCTTAGCGAGTTGATGGGATTTTAAAGCCGGTCTGGATTGGAGATACCTTACACAAACCCCCCCCCCCCTCGACCGGCGTGTTTCATTATTTTGTGTATTTAGAGTTCAAAACCTGATTCTCGACATTTCCTTTGTGATTGTGTCCTGGGTTTTCGTAGAGATCGTAGATGTAGATGTAGTAGTGGTAAGTATAGTTCATGGACGGGTTGTGATATATGGATGTGCAACCATCCTAGTCAACTCGATCGTCCAGGCTGGTCTTGTCTGCATATAGCTTGTAGTCCGTTCTGATTCATTCTCGTTCACGTTATATGGTCCCTTTCAAATCAACCCTTGAGATGATATTTGTATACTACCTACAGAGGAATTGCCCATCACAGTATCTCCCTTAAAGCTCTTTCTGTCCAGTCTACAATGGCGAACGGCGTTAATAAAAACAGTGTATATGATATGAGACTACTAGACATAGGTAGCGGTGGTTAGAAACAAAATGCAGGACATTACACAACGAAGAAGTCGAGTCAAGCGCACCATCAAAGAACAACACCCAGAACCAGCATTAGCCAGCACAAGATATTGAATCTCTGATTCGGCCGCGTGCAAGACACAGACATGGATTGGCGTTCGCATTACAGAGTATCTTCCAGAGCCAGGACCTGTAAACACATAGGGTCAGCAAACCAGACACAGAAAGACAGATGAACAGCAAAGGAAGGAGAAGAAACATACCAAAGCAGTCCTTGTAGGAATATAAACCTGCACAAAATTCCCCCTCCCATTCCATCCCATATCAGTGGTAAAGAACCTCGTCTCCTTAACATTCCTCCCAAACCCACCGAAATCCTTCTCATCGGTATCAAGCACAATGCGATACGTACCAGGGACATCAACCCCAACACGATAATCCGTAAAGCTCTTCTTAGCATTGAAATTGAAGATCCAAAGCAATCCAGCCCTTTCAAAGACAAGTACCTTGTCACTCTCATTCTTCAAACTGATATACGCCTGCGGCGCAGAAAGCCATCTGTACTTCTGCTCGGCCAGCTGCATCCCGCGATCGAACTCGTTCAGGAACTGGTACCGTAGAAGAGGGTCTTCGGTTAGGTTTAGTTGGCGGCGAGCGTACCAGAAGGAATTGTCGTTTCCGGCGCGTGGGAAGTCGAGCCATTCGGGGTGGCCGAATTCGTTGCCTTCGAAGTTTAGGTAGCCCTCGCCGCCTAGGGCGTGGGTTACAAGTCGGATCATTTTGTGCAGGGCCATGCCGCGCTCGATCACTGGGGTGAATTCGGTTAATTTCGACATGTGCGTGTACATCTCTTTGTCGCAGAGCCACATCATTAGGGTCTTGTCGCCGACGAGGCTGTGGCGTTTTGTCAGGTGGGTTGATTGGATGGATAGGGCTGGAGGGTGGTTGGGATTTGGACTTACGCTTGGTCGTGGCTCTCGGCGTAGGCAATGGTCTTCTCGCCATGGCGTCGGTTGGTGAGCGTGAAGGAGATGTTGGCCATGTCCCACTCGTCGTCTGTGCTTTCCTTGAGGAGCTTGATCCACATGTCGGGGACGGCCATTGCGAGGCGGTAATCGAAGCCAGCACCGCCTAGTTTGTGGGGTAGACACAGTGCAGGCATGCCGGAGACATCCTCTGCGACTGTGATGCAGTCTGGGTAGAGTTCGTGCAACATCTCGTTTGCTAGGGTGAGGTATGTTACGCCCTCCTCGTCGACGGATGGTCCGAAGTACTCGTGATACCCACCGGAGAAGCCACTGTTTCTTTTAGTTAGCAGGCTCTTCTAATACATACTAGAAGAATGCACGTACGTTCCGATACCGTGGTGCGAATAGAGCATGCTGGTCACACCATCGAAGCGGTATCCATCGAATCCATATTCTTCCATCCAGAAGCGCAGATTACTCAAAAGGAAACGCAGAACCTCGTGACTTCCATAATTGAACAGACGGCTGTCCCACAGCTCATGACGGCCCTTGGCACCGCCATGGAAGTAGAGGTGGTCCGTTCCATCGAACTCATTGATTCCATCAATGACGTTCTTGGAGGCATGGCTGTGAACCACATCAAGCAGCACAACCAACCCCAAGCTGTGGGCTGTATCAACAAGCTCCTTCAGATCCTCTGGGGATCCGTAGCGACTGCTCGCCGCGAAGAAGTTGCTCACCTGGTACCCGAAGCTAGCATAGTACGCATGCTCCATGATGGCCATTAGCTGGATTGCATTGTATCCCAGATACTTAATGCGGGGGAGCATATTCTTCGTAAACTCCTTGTATGTAGCGACCCTAGTCTCCGGCGACGAAATGCCGACGTGGGCCTCGTAGATTCGCAGACTCTCGGGCTTCTTGGGCCGTGCATGCTGGAATTTGTATACCTCTTCCGCGGGCGGGTTCCAGAAAACGGCATCGTATGCAGGCGACACGGTCAGGTCTTGGACTACGCGCTTGATCCAAGCGGGGATTCGGTAGATGCGCTCGCCGCTGGGGAGCACCATTGTAATCTGTGGAGTTATTAGCGGGGTATTCCACTAATGTGTATGGCTGGTATGATTACCTTGATCTTGCTGTCGTGGGGAATAGCGGCAGCGCCGTCCTTCGGTGGTACTGTTACATTCCAGATGCCGAAGCTATTCTTCGTCATGGGGTTGGCATTGACGTCCCAGTTGTCTACGAGTCTCAGTCAAGCTCATCAAATATGGCTCGTACACAACGTACTGAATTCGCCGACCAAAGAAGCCTCCGTTGCGTTTGGTGCCCATTCTTGGTATTTGATCTCTCCGTTGGGTTGTGCATGTAGTCCGAAGGTTTCGTAGCTCTGATAAGTGCATTAGTTAAGAGGATAGCAATAAATGGGGATGTAATTCACCTTGCTGAACTTGTCCAAGCCACCCTCTGTTTCATTGATGGTCTTGGCCCATTCCTCGACTACCTGGTATCTGTGCTTCAAGACATCGCGATGGGGTTCCAGCCAAGGGTCCAGCTGGATAACACCTATTTTTTTATTTTTTATTGGTTAGAATTGGAATTATATTTGAAAATGCGAGTAGTTGCAAGCTTACCTGTGCCATCGGTGGGAATGTTGGAGCTGTCAATGGTAGAAGACATGTCTGGTGGGGAGAGCTGGAGAGCTTGGGGAGTGGAGAGAAGATGGTCCAGATCAAGGAAATCCAGCGCGGGGACCTCTCAACATGTGACATCAACCCCTCAACGCTTTGTCCTTCGGGTTTTTTGACTTCTTTTTTTTTAAAGTGGGTTTTGCGCTTTGATTTTTTGGTTATTTCAGTCTTAATAAATGCATATGCTACATTGTAGCATTGGACTTTGAACAAGCTCCAGTGGGGATGTGGAGACAGGAACGGATCCGCAGATACAGCTGTTTTCAGACTACAACATACTACTATCTCTAACAGACTATAACAGACTATGTTTCTCATTTTTAACATGCAGGCGAATTGATTCGGACATCCTCAAAGCTTCCAAATAGGATTTTTCGGAGGCTTTGTACAAACTTTCCATGGTGTGGCAAAATTTGAACCTGGAAGCTATATATATATCTAGGTTGCATATATACTCGGAGGACACCTTGCCGTTAGTCGTATTCTCTCACCGGGTGAGTGCTATTACCATGTCAAAAGTTACACGATATTGTGCAGGTACCCGTTCAGGTATACCGGGTCTAGTCTCCTTAAAGAAGCATGTTGGACAACCTTTGGCTAAAGCTGCAATTTTCTGCATCGGGATCTAGGGCAAGATACCAGTAAATAAAGGTACCCCCGGATATAAAGGGGGAATACTTGGGATGAAAATAGGACAATGTACACGATGGTATTGATAAACCAACAGCTTCTCTAATGTGAATCACGTTAGGGGAACGCTATATGGAATCTAGGCATGATTTTGGCACAACTAATTCGCCAAATAGAGCCATAGTACCTCTTCGTGGGTTTCTCAAAGAACCGAGGGAGGTAAAGATCCAGTCTTTCGTTATAAACCATATATTACAAAATGAATAACACACAAGAGCACAGGTATCATAAAAAAAAAAAAGAAGAGTCGTTCAAATCAGCCTCATACAGAGGTATAGGCCGTGTTGTACGCCGGCTCAGGTCTCTGTTCCACGCGGTTGCGAGGCAAGTTCCGGGTCACCACTCCGGCTGTTAAATAGTTGATCATCACCAGGAACTCGGGGACAGTGCTAAAGATGACGCGCACTGGCAAACTGCCTCCGGAGGCCGAGTGATGGGCAAACGCACTGACAACTGCATAGATAACTCGAACACCAATAAGTGGCATAGCAATCATGACACTAAGGAGTATCTTTTTTATTATTCTTATGAGCCAAAATACTCTTGTAGGAAGGGTGTATTTCCATCATTGTCATACCTTTTCCTCGTCGTCAGATCGGAGACTAGCGGAATTTGCTTTCCAAGAAAAGAAGGCAAATGCTCCCACGATGAGCCACCCGATGGCAAAGATTACCAGGCCGACTTCAAGCAAGATTAAATGCTTGCTGCTAGCAGCCGCAAGTCCAATTCCGGCGCCAATAACCAGGTGAGGGATTAAGAGGCCAAAGCCCCCAAGGAACGCGGGGAGTGTTCGTTGGATGGAATGATTCCTATAACAAATCAGCTTTCATTTTCATTTTTTTCATAGCCAGTTCTGCGGTCAGGACGTACGATTCACTAAGGAGGCCTAGGGCTGCCATCAAAAGCGGCGAGAGACCGATTCCATTGATGATGGAGGCAGTCATGTTGGGCTGTCCAGTTGTAGATATGGCATGGTAAGCCATACCGTTTCCAACCAAGCGCAGTCCGCACATCAAAATCACATAGAGCCAGGCGAGTAGTCCATGTTTTCCATGTTTAGCGAAGCAATAAAAGGCGGGAATAGTTGCAATGGCATAGAAGATTATCTCGGCCAGCTCCAGGCCTTCGGTTGAGTTTGTCATGATGCGAATAGTAGTTTCGCGAGTGCCGGATAAAATCTTGATCTTGTAAGAGGTTGATTGCTTGAGATAAGATCCAATGCGATTCTGGAGTTGGGAGGTGGGTGTTTTCCAACCTTTTAAGCCCAATCCAAGCCTATATCAGAAGGATTTGTCAGGAGGATTTACTCGAAGGATTAGTTTCTATTTTTCCCTATGCAGATCCTTACTTCAATGTAATAGCTAAGCATTAGTGGGGCTCAGCATAGAATTACCATATCACAGCCCTATACCGAGTACGTTAGGTTTGGCCCCCAGTGTTGTATGCGTGTTGAGGCAGTGAGATTGAGATTGGCGATTGATAGCACTTCGCCCCACAGTTATAGCCACCAAGAAAAGCGGAGATCACAGACATTCACGTCGTGGCGGAGTCATTGGAAATTAGTTACAAAGTTGTGCGTGGGAGCCAACTCTGGTTTTTGGAATGAGCTACACAGCTTCCGGTGACAATAATGAATATCCCTCGGTTTCCCGGTCTTCAAATCATCACATTTTCAATTATCCGGCTTCTAATGAACCCCTTTTTTCTCCTTCTAAAGCAACTCTAAAGCATGGGTCTTATCAAGACTGGTCTTACCTTGGCTGGTGTCTATGGCCTTATTAAAGCTGCATCCAAGTGCGTTCTTCACATCTTCTATGCTTTCGCTCTCATACTCATATAATCTCCACTAGGGCCGCTTCTGAACATGAAGACAAGAAGCAAAACCTCCAAAATACTTCCCAGCAACAGTACTATCCTAACCACAACCCGCAAAGGGGCTATATGAATGGAAACTCAATGAACAACCCTCATGTCCAACCATCGTACCCTCCACATGGGCCTCGCTCAAACCATAGCGACGTGTATGAGCCTTCGCCACAAGCACAATCCCGGTCGATTCAGCAGCAGTCGATGGGCTATATAAGGACCATGGAGAACCCTCCGCCATACTATCAGAGCCACCCATACGAAATATAGCGAGATGACAAGACTGGATCAGCTCAGGAATATTACAAATTTAAATAGATATAGCTTGGGTCAAGTTCGCAGGCGTTTACGAGGGAGCTCTAGATTCGATTGGTCTACATTACCAACTAGAATATGAGGATCTATGAAAATGACGCCAAAATGACCACTTTTGGCACCAGGAACGGCCGCTTTTCCCGGTGCGGTAGTCGCCAGATGGCAATGTACTAGTTACTTCTAGTAGTCCATCGTAGGAGGTCAGTAGAAGGTTAGTATTACTAGTGTAAATTACGCCCTAGGAAGCTTGTAGGCGTTAAGCCGATGCCAAGCACTGCCCTGCCTCCTGGTTCAAACCGAACGATTAGAATTGTCTAAGCAGTTGAGACTAACTATTGAATTCTCCTGTCTTAAATAATAACAGGGAATTTCGGATTTTGAGGGCTAACCGGGGGGGAGAGGGGAGGGGTTTCTTTTAGTAAAATAATGACTTTTGGCCTCATAATTTCTAGTATGGCAGTATCTACACTACAGTACGAGCCAGTTTCAGCTACCCCAGACTACCCCCAAACCTGATGCAAGGCACGGTTAGGAAAAGTAAAGTGTGTGTGATAAGCACTTTAAGTATCGTCGTGGCTAGTATAAGCCAGCGAGCAAGAAGGACACTTGGATCGTAGACCTGGAAAATATGGCATAAGAGGGAATATGCATGAGGCTTTGAAGGCTGAATTGAGGCTACGAAAAACATAGCCAAATTACGCGGCAAGCCTTTCTCTCATTGGTCTGGTGCTTGTCCCCTCAGGTGCTCGCCTTTTTGTTTCGTTTCAGGGCAACTACGTGCGACATCAAACTTGGGGTAGTGTCTGGATATTGGAAATGCACGTGAAATTGAGTCTAACTAGGTCAGGGTTGTTTGTTAATCCTTCACAATCAACCTAGATGGTGCATAAGGTAGCCTTAGCTGCTAACTAAGGCGTCCTGCCGAATTCTTAGATAAGTAGGCGGGGCTGGGATGCACCTGATATGATTGGCTAACTCGAGTAGTCATCGATGATCTATCAGTCTAGAAAGCAAAGAATTGCTACATTGCAGTGGCAATGGTGATAGAGGGCCTTAGGCATCCTGATAATAGGGGGCCTTAGGTGTCCTGTCCTGGCTGAAGCAAGCCGCGGGTTGAGTGACAGGGGAACCTTTCAGCTGAAACGGGCTCTGGAAGAAGAAAGGATATTCTCCAATACTACCTATCGATGCACAGAGGGATGATTCACCTGGCTGGCCTGAATTGTCCAAATTTTCTCTTGAATCAAGTATAAAGTCTGCATTATCCATCATACGAAACTGACAAGAATCACTCGTCAACATTCAAAATCCAATACGAAAGTGCCTATCAGATACCATTGAAAGAAGTTCAAGATGCGTTTCACTTCGCAAATGTCGCTAGTACTGCCCTTGGCGATATGCGGCATGTCAACTATTGAAGGGGCAATGGCAGCCTGCTCAGATGGACTTGTGAACGTTGTCTTCAACGGACCCTCCAACTCGGCCCAGTTCCCTCAGAAGTTCTCTCAGATGCCTGGCGCTTCCAACTGGCTTACGTTCAAGTTTGGAACCGAGCCTAAGCAGATTCCAATGATCGGAAACGACAGGGCGGCTGTCAAGAAGGCCATCGATGCGGTCAACGGCCCAAATCCGCCAGACTACCTGCTCACATTCAACGAGCCTGACCATGATTATACTACCGGCAAGGTGATTTTGACTCCACATAACGCCTCTGTTCTCATCAAACCGTTGTTAGAGTCACCTGGAAAGCATACAAAATTCATCGCACCGGTGCCAGCCGCCCAAATGAGCTCCTGGCTTGATAATTTCTTCAAAGAATGTCAATGCAAAGACTCCTTCGCTGCATACAATGTTCATATATATCGAGGAAATGTCGAGGATGCTAAAGCCGAGATAAATGCTTTCCACGACAAGTTCAACGATAAGCCTTTGTGGATTACCGAGATTGGACCGGGAAATAGAACGACAGCTTGCCCGAATCCGCCGCCCTGGAACCAAACGATCAAGTTCATGCAAGAAATTTACGCCTGGGGACAGTCAAAAGAATGGATTCACAAAATCTTTTGGAACACTGGCAATCAGATCACCAGCCATGTAGACAACAATGTGTGCAACTCTTATCTACTTGATGGCAATGATAAGCCAACACCACTGCTGAATCCTTTCAATCACTTGACTTGTTCGTGAATATGGCTACTGCACCTATAGTGGTGAGCAGCTGAAGCTAGACAATCCTACCTTCTGCTGAAGTACCCCTACAAGCAGTAATTGTTGTCTGACAATAGACCGCTGTTGTCAACCAAGAATTGTGAAAAGAGTCATTCTTTTGGAACGTTTTGTATTATTCTCTTGTTGGGCGGAGTGATAGTTGAGAGATTGAGATATTGTTAGTGGGGTTCAGGAGGACGGTAGTAACTAGTTATAGCATCTTCCCTTCGCCTTGCACTGTGGTCCTGAGAACAGAGGTGTCCTAGGAATACCAGAGAATATGGCTATGAACTGTGAGGATCTCACATATACGTAGATGTGGACATTAAGCTTTAGATGAATAATCAATATTAAAAGCTATAGTCGACTCTAGACACAAGACGTAGCGCGAGGAAGCAAAGAAATATAGCTTCCTCGCGTTCAGGGGAATCCAGATGCGCCATATGGGTCCGTGTCCTTCGCTTATTGTATATACCTCATGTCAATCCCTGATGTCAGATGTTTATTTCTGTAAAATGATAAATTCCGTTGTTTTGCAATCTATACGGATATAGCTAACTAACAATAATATACAGTTTTATACAGAGCATGCTATTATAGCAGTCCGTTGGTTCTCCAGGGTTCAATACCCTATATTCCTACCATGTACTCCGTATTCGACCATAGTATCCGATATTAAGCATTAAGTAGAATTTAACATCCGAAACTCATACCGATCTCTACAGAATAATCTTGTGTAATTTTCGCCATAAACGCAATGATCAATCAGATAAACCGACACTAAGTCATCGCCAACGCTAACTCAGGATCGGCAGCAGTCTTGCCTATAAAAATCCGCCCCCATCATCCCCTATCCCTCCACTGTCTTCAACTGGCCCGCTTCAACTACTCCCCACCCACGGCCTCTTGATGCAAATGATTCCCTCAAATTTTCACCACAACCAGATTATCCGTTGCTTCTTTTATCGTCGCTTATCCGGATCCCTGCTCAGTTAAGCTTCGCAAACAAGCCCTGTCCAGTGAAACGGCCAATCGCCGCGCAGTGAACATCGTCTAAATCTTCCCCAAAACTTCAGGTATACCGGCTTCCAGTGTGAGAACTTCTGGCTCGAGTAGATAGACCATGCAGAAGCAGTTTAACAACGCAATGCCTTCCTCGCTGTGCAGTATGTGCCCCCACGTCATATGGTTCATATGGCCATGCCGATTAAGACTAAATACTAAAAAAATATTCGATCTACATTAGACGAGTGCAAGAAAGCAGAGAAAATTCTAAGTTCATTCGTGAAGCCCAAAAAATGGAACAAATCGAAATCAAAGTCAGAGGAGCCAGAGCTCGGCATCCCACGCGCAATCCTCTCCGGTGCAAAGGTTCGCAATTGTCCTCAAGAATGAAAACATTAGCTAATATTTTCATGTCCAACAGGCCCTAGTTATTTTTACAGCCATGAAAGCAGGCGCCGTAGCTTCAATGCGCTTCGGATCGGGCCTAATCGTCGCGCGACTTCCAGACGGCACCTGGTCCGCCCCGTCAGCCATGGCAATGGGTGGCATCGGTCTCGGCACCCAGCTAGGCTTTGAAATGACGGATTTTGTCTTCGTGTTGAACAGCGAGCAAGCTGTCAAAACGTTCACTCAATCAGGGTCTGTCACTCTCGGTAAGAATCTCTCCGTTGCATTGGGTCCATATGGACGAAGCGCGGAGCTGGGTGGCGCGATCAGTTCGAAAGGAATGGTAGGGATGTTTGCGTACTCAAAGACACGGGGCGTCTTTGGAGGGAAGTCCTATGAGGGCGGGATGATCGGGGAGCGGCCCGAGGCGAATAAGAAGATGTATGGCGTTACGTTGACGGCGAAGGAGCTGCTTAGTGGAAAGATTGCCCCGCCGCCTGATGCCGAGTCCCTCATGCAACTCCTGAATTCAGATAGGTTTAATTTTAGGGAGGGCGATGTGTCACCAGCGGCCTCTACAGCTGACTATCCTGCTTATGATAGTCGTCAAGAGGTCGCTGAACTGCCTGCTCAACTACCTGATCTGCATAAAGAGCCATTTGAACTAGGTGCCGAAGAGCCCCCAAAGTTTGCCGAATTGGATGCGGGACCTGGTCATCAAATTTTTGAGTTGCATGCTGAGGATGTTGACTCCAAAGTTTATGAGCTCGATACTTTCCAGTCGCTTCCGTATCGGGTATCAAAGGACGGGCATCCTGCGTCAAAAACTCCAGCAGTACTACCCTCCAAGGACTCGGCTCGTGAAAAGGAGCTGCCCCCGCTACCTTCATATTGAGTTTACGTCTACGTTGGAATATAAAGTCGAGCGGCTTGTAAGACAGGTCACTAGACGGATGCTCTTAGGAACTACGAGTATTCAATTTATTGACAGCAAAATAGTCGGACTATCATATTGCTTTCTCCTTCAAACATGTATGGATCATACTCATAGACTGGCAAGGACTATCGAACTTGATCAACGGCAAGTAATTCTGTAGAGAGGGATGGTACGCAGACAGCTCAATCATCACCATCGTAGTATGGGCGACCCAAACTCATGCCTCTATCAGTTTCCGCATTTCATTCTGAATCAGAGTCCTCGTTGATGTGGATGTCATGGACCTCACGCAAAATTATAAATGCCAGAGGCCCAATCCCGAATGCCAACATGGGATCAAGAACAGCAGCAGCGGTAACCATCAGCTTGGATGTCACCTGGCTAGGCTGCTTCTTGGGAGCTAGATTTGCCGCACGGTCCACACCACTTGCCGTAAGGAAAATATAGCCAATCATTCAGGGCAATTGGTTCTCTTTCTCCATGCTGCCTGCCCCGAAGAGTTCGCGAAGCTAGTCTGCACAAACCTCTTTGATGGTAGTCAGAAGCCGCCAACAGGTCCGACGGTTCTTAGCAAAGTTTGCCGCCGAGTATCCCATGCTGAGGCAAACCCGTTTCATGTACTCAAATAAAAGTGTATCTAACGGCTTCCCGATCCTCTTTGGTAATGTTCAACGCTTCTTCGTGACTATTCCGTGAGAATACATTAAAATAGGGTAGAAAGGTGTTATGACTAGTTAGTGAATTCCATCCCCCACAGGGCTTAATAATCAAAGGATAGGGTAAGTCGGGCTTCTCACCTGGGCAGGTATCGAGATGGCTTGATTGAGACTTGAGGCATGCTAAGCTTGGCCAGCGAATACTCTCGTATGGTACTTGTTTGTAGCAATCTTGAAGCCTTCTGGAGACCTAACCAGGTAACAAATACCAGGAGCTTTAGATACCATCATACCAGTATGGAAGATACGATACAAAAATCTATGACTAGACGCTTGGACTGGCTGGAATGTTCGATGCAAAATCGGCAAACATATAGACAAAGGGTAGGTGGGGGGGGGGGGGGGGGTGGTGATGTCGGAATCCAAAATATTGACACTAGACAAGATGAGTGATTCGAGATTTGGCGCATTTTCAACCATTCTGAATAAATGGGGGGGGGATAGGTGCTATTAGGAAAGGCAGTATATTCCGGTAAAACTGGCGTCTGCTTATGCCTCTGGTCCGCCGAATCCGTGTATGCACAAACGTATAGCCCTAGGTGTCGAAGATGTTGTATGATATCTTCAATAGGCGTTTGTAAAGAATTGGGTCTGTTCGGAAAGAAACGTCCAAAGTCGTGGGTGATAGGAAATCTGACTTCAAGTTCTGATAGGCTTGGAAGCGGTATGTAACAAAATATAGAGATAACTGTGTCTATGTACGCTGCTCTCTGGGCTTGCGGTAATGATAAGGGCGGTTCGTGAAATCCAAGGGCCCTGAGATTGGTGAATTTAATTAGAAGGGACGAGTGCCGTTCTGCTAGGTCTTCGATATATAGTGTACTGGCATCAGACTGACGGCTTTCCTTAAAGCCAAAGTCAATTTGACAAACACATGTAGCATACGGGCTTTTCGATAACCGCATAATCTGTTCTAGAGACGGAGTGACTAGCGAGGAAGTACACTCCGCATTGATATGCCGGAACAGCCAGGGTGACGCGCTGCGGCAGAAGGCCCTGTTGACAAGGCGTAGGTTGGCTAAGTCCCGTCGAGCCCCGCCTCCAATGATCGAGTAATTCCTAGCGTCGTCTTCCAAATATAAGAACTCATTGTATACGTTCCACACAAGATGAACAATCTGTAAGGAATGTTAAGCACCAAGCAAAAGAATTAACTGACACAATCCTCGGCCTTACATGATCGTATATCTCCGTAGGGATTTGCATGCTGTTTTCCAACTTCTTTCAAGTTTGAACCTTCAGTGCGATTTCCTGAGGTCTGGCGTTGGTAGTCAGAAGAGGGGTCGGTCTTGCGATGGTTGTCCTAGTGTGGGGAACTTCAGACCTCTTGTACCGTAACAACTTACTAAGCCGTTTCTTTCGTCTGGTATTAACTACAACATATACCATCCAGCCCTTGTGACAGATCCTCAAATACGGGAATAACCATATATGGGCTAGCGTAGGATGTGATTAGGGGTTGGAAAAGCTCCTCGGTATTGTCCGACATTGAGGCGAAAGCGGTCGCTACTATAAGTCAGAGATTGTCATCGTGACTCACAGTTTAATCTACTATTTATAGTAATACGAACATGGTAGGAACTGGCTGGACTGACTCATATATTACGTATTATTTGTTCATTGGATATAGCTCCGGAGCTATGACTAGCAAGCTTACCCCCAAAATAGGCTAGATTATGCATATTGTTGGAAAAATACAGGCTATTCTACCACTAGACCACAACAAAAACCAAGGTTCCTGTTTATGGCGTAGGGGGCCTTATTCCATTCTGACACATGCATAATGTCGTGGCAGGCCACTACGCATTCCGATAAGGGCAAGCTATGTCAGAATTTCGAGCCCGTATATAATCCTATGATTTCTATCTCTAAGATTTTTTAAAATAAGTTTGCAGCCTCATCTTTTCCGCCATCAATTCGCTCTTTGCAAAATGTCGTGTCCTGAATGTTTCAACGGCCATGTCCATGAAGGTACTCCACGAGGTGAAGTCACCACCTTACATGGGTTAAAGGCCTACACCACCAAACCTTCCAACGGTGAAGCCCACCGAGGAATCATCATCATAGTTCCCGACGCCTTCGGATGGGAATTTGTGAATAACCGTATCCTGGCCGATAACTATGCCGATAAGGGAAAGTACCTCGTCTACCTTCCCGACTTCATGAATGGTAAGTACTAGCATTGTCAAATATACCTTGAGTAAATAGCCCGCTGAGACTATTATCCCAACTTCAGGACATGCGGCACCGGTCAGCATGTTGCACAACACGAGAGAGTTACTCAGAGCAGATGGGATAGCAACTTGGCTTATGAAGCCGTAAGTCACAATAACATGATACGATTCACGGATATAATACCGGGAAGCGTTAATGGGACCATCACTAAATCGAGAAATAGCTATTATGTGACCGCTGTGATGACTCAAATCATCCCCTTCAAACACTACAATTCTTTCGAGGCCACATGGCCTATCGTGAGGGACTTCTTCAAGTCCGTGCGAGGAAACGAGGGCTCCGAGCTTCCTATCTATGCAGCTGGGTTCTGCTGGGGAGGAAAGCATACCGTAAATCTGGGCTTCGGGGGCGACACCGCTTCCAACGGAAAACCCCTTCTTAATGCTGCGTTTACCGGTCACCCCAGTTACCTCGAGATCCCTAGTGATATAGAGAATATTGTCATTCCTACTAGCTTTGCTCTTGGCGATAAGGACACGGTTGTGAAACCTCCACAGATAAAGCAGATTCGACAGGTTTTTGAGAATGAAGCTAAATCGACAAAAGGAGAGGTGAAAGTCTATGAAGGGGCCGGTCATGGGTTCTGTGTGCGAGCCAGTCTTACTATAGGTGATACAAGCAAGCAGGCTGATGAGGCGGAGAATCAAGCATTAGCTTGGTTCGAGAGACATTGAAGCATTATTTCAAACTACATTGTATATTTAATGCTTATATATGACGCTTGATTTGATCAAAATAGGAGTTGAGTGACTCACCCGTTATATAACTAACCGGCTAAGTCACCACCAGCACTTTCTTGGTCACCAAGACATTATCTTGACAACAACCAGCATTTAGAGCCCACGCCAACATCATCGTGAGCCCTTGGTAAAAATCTCATTCAAACTAGTGCTAGTCATAGATACTAGCGTGTGGTTTTCGTTAGCATCTAAATCTATTAGCTTTTCTATTTATATCCCTCAAGTTGCCTCGCCTTATCTCCGCCGTCCCTCCAACCTTTCCTAGCTACTGAGCCCGCCTTTGTCTGCTTGTCCGAGGACTTGTCAAAGGATCTATAAAAGCCATGGCGTTTGTTCTCTTATTGATTCAATGAACAAAGACTTTGTTCAATGAACCCAGTCAACAGCAACTGAAAAGCATAAATAGATGGAATTCTCTATCTTTTCGAGCTGTCCTTCTCATCGTCTAGAACCATCGAAGACTCCAGGTAAGCAGACCTACATACATTCACCCTGTTAATCAAGCCCCCAGTCTATTCCTCACTACAGAAAATCAACATGCCCTTGAATAAATACCCAGACAACGAAGAAGTCGACAAGATGAACTACGAGAAGCGATTCCTCATAGCATGCACCTGCTTCAAGTCCTGTCTCTACGAGGAGCTTCGATTCCTGAGTCTTGGAGATGGTCTCCGCTCCGAGATCATTCCAACCCTCCACAAGTTGGTGAAGCTGCTGAATGCTATCTTCCTTCTGGGCGAGGAGATGGCACGCACATGCCCGGATTGTCGCACTGTCCATAACAGGCCTACGGACCACTTCTTGGCCCAATTCGAGCGTCTGTGTAATAACCGCATTATGGTTCCTTTAACGCAGGCTATTGCTGACCTTGAGGCGGATGAGTTGTTGCCAGAGCCGAAGGCGAGCGTCGACTTTTATGTGTCTTCGGATTTGGATGATTGTCGTGCGGATGCTAGTGTCTTGCTCTCTAGTGACAAGCTGCCTCGGGATGTGACTAACGGCGTTCAGTTTCAGAGCGCTTCTCGCCCGTGAGCATCTTTTAGTTTTTTTACTTGTTTAGTTATTGAATAAACCAAGTGTATCTTTGACTCTGATTTTCCATTGTAAACCAATGTAGCGTTAAGTCTTAAGGAGTGTAGGTTTAAATTCTCAATCTCTAATATCTTTTAACCAAAGACTGTACGGGGTAGATAGACTAATGTAGAGTTGAGACTAAATAGGAAGGTTGTAATCATGTCCCTTGCATGCTCCGCGCATGAATCTGATCTCAAATTGAATTCGTGCCTATCTTCCCTTCTGATAATTCGCCTAAATTTTGTTTAATTAACTCTCTTTGATTTTTATTTCCATTAAAAATACACATATCTCCTACTCTGACATAATCACCCCCCAAAAAATAAATCGGAACCCTAAGGGGCCAAAAATCGCCCGATGCTGCACGGGCCGCTCCTGATGAGCCCCCCCCCCCCCCCCAATCACCTGGGTGTCATCAGCACTCCAGCTCTAGTCGCATTGCTTATCCAAAAGCCCAACACCATGTCCCTACAATCAGCAGCAGGTAGCCAGCTACCATTCCACCAAACGACCGCAATCCGACTCCTAGCCGACTCCCTGTATGAGTCGACGCGCGACTCAACGGGCCTAACGAACCAGGCCCAAAATGAGCTTGGTCTGCTTCTGGCCGTGCTAAGCACGACCGAGACGTACACTTCATCTCTAGGCGCAGAGTGCGTCCACTTTGCAGTTCTGAAAAAAAGATTGCATAGTTGCCATGCTGTTCTGCTGGAATTGCAGAAGCTCCTGCTGCATCCAGATGCGCTCGGGGCTCAGAGTCTGGTGTCTGATATACGCGCGCGTCTCTCATCAATTATTTTTGGAATTACTGAGGTGAATTTGAATATGATGATGTTTGTTGGCCATGTTCTGCGTGTGTGTGGGTTTTAACATTGGTACAGATCATCGCAGAAGATTATTGAGCGTGCGCTAAGATGTTTTGTCGATGACGTTCGCACTGGCAGAAGGGGGGCTTTAGTTGTTTCTGATGTTTCAAATGATTTTTCGAAGCTTAAGGAAGATGGTGTATGGCTTCGCCTGCAGGCAGAGTTGGTCGCTACTGGCATTGCTTCAGATCTATTGAAACTGAACCGGGACTTCGTTATATCGACTCTTCAAAAGATAGCAGATGGCCTTCTATCTACTAATAAGGAGAACACGACTCCAGTAGAAGTTTCCGAGTTTACGGTACCAGAACCAGCCCTGGAATCAAAACGCCAGAGAAGCCTAGACGACAAAGACTGGCTAGCAGACGAACCACCCGGTCTTCCATTCCTCCCGCTCCCGCCAAAAGGTTTCTCATTTTCAGACAAGTACAGCTCATATCCAAGCCAAGAGCAGCCCTATCCAGAAAAAGAGACAATACGAGAAGAAAACTTGCCAATACCAGTGATATTGGACATGCAAGATTGCACAGATACACAAAAGCAGGCAATACCAGTCGAAGACTTGCCCATCCCAGTTCCCGCAGAGAACCACCTACAGGAAAACAATGGCATGGACCTCCCAATACCAGTGACAGTACCTATCTCGCCCAAGCCGCAAAAACCCTCACTAGACCTGCATGCCTTCAAAGTATCAGCAAACTCAAAAAAGCCCCGCCGCATGAGCCGCATTCTCTGGGAAATAACCGGCTCCAAAGAACCCTTCATAGCCGCCATCAAGACCAACCAACACCAAACTGTTAAAACCCTCCTCTCCAAAGGCGCCGACGCCAACGCCCAAAAGACCGACGGTACAACAGCCCTAATGGCAGCCGTCTCCTTCGGCCACGAAGCCACAACCCGGCTACTGATAGAATACGGCGCAGCCCTAAATACCCGGGCCGGAACAGGCGAGACAGCCCTCAACGTCGCTGCAACACGCGGCTTCGACCGCATCGTACGGACACTGATTGCCTCGGGTGCGAATATCAATTCGGGGAAGGGGACGGGCAAGACGGCGCTCTCGCAAGCTGCCGCGTACGGACAGGACCGGATTGTAGAGCTTTTGCTGGACTGCGGGGCGGATATTGATGCTGTTAATAGTACAGGGGATACGGCGTTGGCGTTGGCGGCGTTGAATGGGAATATGAGGGTTGCGAGATTGTTGCTTGATCGTAGGGCGAAGGTTGATCTTATGCGTTATCCTTGGCAGACGCCGTTGTATAAGGCTGTTCAGTCGGATGTGGTGGGGATGGTTAGGCTTTTGATGGAGCGGAGGGCGGATCCGTTTGTTAAGGGGGGGATTCGAAGGACGGAGACAGTTATGGCTTTTGCGGGGAGAATGCAGAGGAGGGAGATTTTGGAGGTTTTTGCGCAGTATGGGTTTTATCCTGGGGGAGGGGGACTGGTGAGGTATCAGTATTTCTAATGGGGTTAGGATTCATGGAGTATGCGTATAATATTATGTAGTATCTAGCGTGAAGCGATTTTGATTCTTTTTTAGTTTGGCTCTTGATCTTTAGCAGGCCATGTTGTGGAGTTGAGAGTTGGGATGATTGTATGTCTGTCTATCTTCTAAATGTACGAAAGAGAGGTCTATAGGTACCATTGATATGCAGAAACTAAGATAATAAAAAGATACTCTCCTTGCATAGTAGCACACAATGACACAAGTGATAATCACAATAATATTTGGTACATCGTATTCTGAATAGCATTTGGGGGCCAAATATCCCGAAGCCCCACGAGTATCTACATGATTGAAGCATTTTGCGTCTAAGCCTACCAGCCAGCCTTGAAAGGCTTACGGAGGGGCGCCCAAACAGGAATCGATCAGCTGCGGAGCCGCAAATGGCCGCGTGATTGGGTTGGCGTTTACGATCGTCGCCCGCATCGGGTGTAATAATCTTAAAACTGCCAGGGGTCTACATGGGCGGGATTTTGATTTTGATTATTGTTATGGGGTGTATGTAGAAGAAAGCCTATGAGATAAGTACAATGAGCTGCGATATACTAAGCCCAATAGAATTATATCGCAATATATAGATTTCCACTATTTGGAAGCATTCTGCGCGGCTTCTAGGAGGTTGTACAATGTACAAGACTCTACTTTCATGTGGATCTGCTACATGTGGAAATTGGTCGCAAAATCAGCCGCATTACTGCCAGCAGCCTTTTGCAATACTCCGTGCACCTTTTAGACTGCTCCTGTGTTTCATGTTCCCGTCAACACGGGGCATGAGTATAGAGTCGGGTCAATAGTATCTTGTAAAGTCCTCCGACTACAAGTTCCGTACTTAATACTTCAAAGCTCGTTCAAAACATTAAAGTACAAAATACGAAGTACAAAGCTGTGGCTTAGACTTGGCATCCCCCAAACCCGTTTAAGGCAGTGCACTCATATGAAATCCCCCGGTATCCACTGTAATACGAGTTGTACTTTACATTTAAGCCCTTGACGATCATATCGTCTCTATTTTTAATTATCTTATTATCTGGAAGCTCTGCCGTCTTTCGCTTTAAAACCCTTCCCATCCCCATTACACAAGTGAGACGTCGCGCATCCACCAAACCATCTCTCCCCAATACCCCAGACTCTCAACTCAACAAGAATGCCCGAACACACCCAACACCCCGAGCCAACGCCTAGTACGCATCAGCCCCCTCACTAACCCCCTACAGTACCTAATAACTAACAACCTCTAGCACCAGCCCCAACATACAGCGAAGCCCCAGAAGTCGTCACCCCAGACCATCAGAACCAAGGCCCAGTCAGCCCATATTCCGACACCAATTCATACACCGGTCAATCTCTCCCATCCACCCTACACACAAGCCACACACCAACGCCAGTAAACGGTCCCTCGGAAAAACAATACCCCCACCAACCCGATTCCATCGGTCAAGCACCAGCATACGACGCGTCGACATCAATGTCTGCTCCCCCCGAGAAGGCATACCCGGGCCAGCCCCTACCACAGTATTCACAGGCACAAGCGCAAGCTCAAGCACAACTCCAGGGTCACCCGCAGCAGTACTACACGCCTACCGGCCATTCTAGTGGATATGCCACGTCTGTACCGCTGCACTGTGTCCAGTCTGCGCCTTGTCCGGTTGATTGTCCTGTTTGTGGAGAGCGGGAGATGACTAGTGTTGAGTCTGTTAGTGGCGGGACTACGCAGTAAGTTTAATTTCCCTGCACAGTTGAAATACTGGATTGGTCGTTGACTTTGTTTTGTGCAATAGTGGCTGGGCTGCTATTCTTTGCTTCTGTTGCTGTCTCGGATGTATCCCTTACTTGATGTCGTCGCTTAAGGATGTCGAGCATTCTTGTGGGAAGTGTGGTGCTAAGCTTGCGAAATGGCATAATAGTGGTCGTGTAAATGTTTTGCAGAATGGAGCGAGGAAGTGAGGTTTTTTTTTACTTCCCTTTTTGTTTTTTTCTGTTTCAGAATTGATACCACTTTGTTGTTTGACGTCATCGTTTGGAGGTTGGAGTTGTCGTTTGCGCAACTTTTGACTTATTTTTCTTTTCGATGTGATGGTTGCATATTTGACCCACTGACGATTTAATATGCTGAATTTATGAGAAATAGTTCAAACTGGCAGATATGAGGATAGACGTAGGAATAGATGAACGCGCCAAGCCAACCTCGTATCCGATGATGCGGATCATTTGACATCCTTTTTCTCAACACACAAAACCCCAAAGACCACAATTGGAGACGTCTCACAGCCTCAGATAACAAAATGATCCGTCTTATCTTCACAGCAACGGCAATAATAACCAGCTCCTCAGCAATCTACTTCTACATTTGCCATGAACGTCTATCAAAACGCATAGCGCACAAATCGCACCTCGGAACACTCTCCACGGCCACAAAACCACCAGGTATAGAATCAATCCCAGAAACCGTCTTCGGTGATGAGTACTTCACTCTCTATGACTATGCCTTAAAGTCTGTGCCACGGGCCTCCCTTCCTGGCGATGAGACCACAGATATGTTCTTCAAGAGACTCGTGCGCCGCAACATGAGGGCGTTCTCGCGGTTCCCGCAGGCGCTTGTGCTTGCTATGACCAGTAAGACGCCGGAGCAGAAGCAGAGTTTCAAGGCGGGTTATCTTGCCGCGTTAGACTTTGAAGTTGGGGATTTGGTTTGTGGAGTTTATCGCGTTGTTCTACGGAAGAGGAACCGGGTTGAGTTTGAGATTACGATGGAAGCGGTGGATTTTGTGCAGGGGAGGTTGGTGATTAGTTATGAGGAAAGTGGTAGTCTGGAGGGAGAGGGGGAGGTTGTGTTTTGTAGTGAGACGGTTATGTGGAAGAGAGCGGATGAGGTTAGGAAGATGCCGTTAGAGAGGCCTGTCTTGAAGTGGATGCATGAGACTGCTGCTTGGTGGTTGTTGGACTCTGGGATTAGGTGTTTGACGGATTTGGAGGGTTGAGTGATTTTTAGTTGTTTCTTCTAGTTTTACCTGCAGTTGGATCTGGATGTGTTTTGAGATAATACTTTTGTGTTGGGAATATTGGTATTACGGCAATGGGAGGGCTTTGCGAAATTAGTTATAGTTGTAATATATTTTGTGATGTACAATCTGACCTTTGAAGGGCGACTATGCTATTAGTGGTATGGTTGGACCTCAGGTAGGCAGGAGAGGTGCACGCAGTACGTCTCGGGCAGCTAGATGCATGACCTGCGTCATTTCTTTTCTAAGTTGAGTTTGTTGTACTATTGTGGAAGCCACATGCTCCAGATCATATACCAGTAAATTATGGCGTTTTCCCAGTCGCTTTGGTCATTTCTCTTGCGTTTTCCAGTGCCTGCGGCTTGGTTTGCGCGGTGTATTGTGATCAAGGTGAATGACGGGGTTTGGCAACCTAATGGGAAGATGTAGTTCCAGTCATTTCTGTAGAACTTTCGAAAAGTCGTCCGGGTAATTGTACTGAAGTCAATTTGGTCAGTGCCTCCACCCTCTTGGCTTGGAACTTGTCCTACTCGGCCCGAAAGATTATATTCCTAGCTCTCTTAGTTGATTGGCCTATATCTCCGGGGTAGTGCTATTCAAGTTAGCGAGGAGCATGGAAAGGTAAGGTGGTTATCACGAAATACCGATTCCCATATTCGATGTCGTGAGTAACCACATGGATGGGGTTTGGTAATCCTCTGCTCCCCACCTTCACTTAGTCCTGTTACACGGTCCTGTCCTCGCATATCTTATTGGTCCCAGACCCAACAGATGATGTAACTAATATAAGTCAACACTAATCTCTAGAACAGATGCAGATATCGAACTCTCATCTGGATGTTATTGTTCAGTGACAATTGGCGCATTCTTTTGGTCAACCTGGAGCATCGATGAAATAGAGCTCGAAAGGAGTTTCCTTTTTCTTGAAGTTGTACTCGCTTCCTCTCGCTGGTTAGCCCGATACATTGGATGTACGCAGCTCAAAGCTGGCAATAGGTCCTCCAATATTCTCATGAAACGCTTCCGATTTCCACAGATGTCCTTCCCGGTGGACTGGCTCTCGGTAGAGAGCTATTGTTTGAAAATAACTGGGCTAGACCCAACATAGGATTTAGTTGACATGGCTGCCACCTTCAACGTGGTGCCCATGTGTTCGTTCAGCAGCTTGTAGTGATCATATTGAAAGTGAAAGTGTAGGAAAGTTGCGAACGGTGAGATCTGCACGAGCTAGACACCCAAGCAACAGCATTTTGATGATAGGTGATAGCACCAGACAGTAAGCCAGCTTGAAGATGTACATGTCAATTAAACTCTGCGCAGCAGTAACCGTAGTGTCTCGGCGTCACTTAGCCATGGACGAAGGGTGCTGGAAAGAGCTTCTATCCCAGAAGTTGACCCCAATCATAATTCATTGTCCACATAATAGTAGATATCTGGTCGATGATGCTGTAACTTTGAAAACCATGGGGAAGAGAGGAAGGGAGGAGGAAGGAGGAAGGATAATGGTGAGGAGCAGAGGTCATATTCGCCTGAGGCAGGAAGGCCTGGCATATGAGAACAAGAACGTCTTAGATATTGGATTAGATTTCTTTATTCCTACACCTTCTAGTTTTGATTTCTATTGGATCAAGCTGATTGGACCTATAAGAAACCATTCCAGCATCAGGTCAACCTACCTATGTCTCGCTGTGCGCGTCATCGGAGTTGGATACAATGGGTATTGTCAGGTGGTTTGGATACAATGAGGATGACTCTTTGAGGATAGTTGGAACAAGGCATCTAAAAGGCCAAAAATCCTTGGGATTTTGTTTTACACATAAAGAATTGTTCACAGACAGTTGTGAACAAAGAGTTTCACCATGACACCGAAACAATGCCTTTAATCCTATCTTTGTTATATCACATACCATTGTCCATCGACTCGGCTTTGTACTCGCCCATCGGCGACTCCCTCACCCCCAGATCCAAGTTCTATATAAGCCGCGATCCTCGCACAGATCTAATATGGCAGCAGAGCACCCCTCTCATCTCATCTCATATATTCTCTACTTCCAACCCATCTATTCCATTTCTCCACTACTTGAAATGTGCAAACACACCTACCACCACTATCCCAGCTGCGGACACATCTCCAACTGGAGCCTGATCAGCTGCCAAGAATACACCAACAAGCTCCGCCTGGCCGGTCCAGAGCGCAGCGCATCCTGCACCCAGATCACATCCTCCCACGACCTCCTCCTCCCTACCCAACCCAGCATGTGCGTGCAGTGCGAGAGCGAGTGGGCTGAGAACTTCTCCAGAAACGACCAGATCCAACCCTCCAACTATTACCGGTCAATCGAGGGTATAGATTCTAGGCAAATTATCGAAGTTAACGCGCGCATGTTAAGCGACCCTATTCACGACGACAGGGACACAAGCAGTACTGACCACAGCGACAATGGCCAGGTCTTCTTGGGTGCTGCCGTTGATAATTCGGGAAATGGGGACGCGGACAGTGCTGGCCACAGCGACAATGGCCAGATCTACTCGCGTGCTGTTGTCGGAGAATCGGAGGAGGATTGCGGAAGCCTGGCGTGTTCTGATAAGTCGTCTAGAACGGCTTTTAAGTTTTCCCGTACTAATACCAGTTCGCCGGTGGTGGCTGGAGATCTTGATTCTTTTATCTCTACTATCGTCAGGACCAGTCCGGATTATCTCGCACACAGCGGACATGAAAAGGACAATGCTGAAACTGAAACTCTGGACATCGAGGATGCTGTATGTGTATCCCCCAGCGATACAAGTAGCTATGACACAGACAGTTCTGGCTCGTCGCTCTGTGGATCGTCTTTGATAAGGTATAACATACTTAAGCTGAGAATTGACGAATATCTTGAAAAGCGACAGCGACAGCGGGAGGTAGACACTGACCATAAACAGCACGATACTAAGACCTCTAGTGTGGACATGAACATTTACCTTGCTGACGTAGTTGACCCCTATGTTGCTCTGAAGGACACACCTCCTGCAGACCCAGTTGGTAACCCTGAAGCTGACCATCACTCATGCGACGAGCCCACTCTTGACATTGACATTGTGCAGCAGCGTATTGAAGCTACCATCCTAAAACGCATTGAAGAAAACAACGAAAAGGAAGCTCGGCAGGTAGCCATCTCCAAGCTCCTAGACACCGCACTTCTAAAGAAGGACCGATACGACCGGCGCGAGCGCAACGCCGAGCTCGGCATCGAAGAGGACCCCCATCTCTGGGACACAGAGTCCCTCGACCGAATGTGGCAAGCAAAAGATTATACTACTGTAACCACCGCTGACGCCAGCATCCCCGTCCCCCCACGGACCTGTACATCCCCCCAGACCAAACAGGTCTCACCAACCTCAAACCCAGCCCCCCAGCCCCAGAAGCACCTGTACATGGGCAGTATGTTCGCCAGCGAAGAACAAGCCTACCAACGAGGACTGCGCGAAGTCCGACCCTACGGTAATTACTCCGGTGAGTCTGAAGGGTTCATGCTAGCCCTCTCCATAGACGACGCGAACCGGCAGGGCCTGCTAGACCCAATTCACGTGCGGGGCTGCTGCACGGAGCGACGCGCCGACTTCCACCTCTACTACGGGGCGATGCAAGCACCGTCGGAGGTCGAAGCAGAAAAACGTTGGCTGGAGGATATCCGACGGATCCCCGGCGAAAATGGGAATTTCTACGGGTTGTTGCGGGCGGATGATCTGCAGCATGCCCGGGCAATGGGACTCACGGATATCAGCCATCCATGGGGGTGTTGCAAGGATGGGCTTTTTGCTATGCCGGAGCGTGTGCGTCATCGGTACACTGGGTTCATGTGTGCGATCTCATTGGAGGAGGTTGGACATATGGGACTGTGTGATGCGGAGCCAGTTCCTGGGGAATGTGGCGAATACTACGGTGGGACTTATTATGGGTATCTTGAGGCATATTGTGAGTTGGATGCTTTTCAGATGGGATTGAAGGAGCCTGAACATGATTGGGATTGTTGTGTGAAGGCCGAGGTTGCCGATGTGTCGATCACTGAAGCGGGGCAGTACACGTATTACGGTTATATGTATGCAGGTTCTGAAGAAGAGGTTGTGGATAGGGGCCTCGAGGATGTTCTGCTCGTTCCTGGATTTGATATAAAGTATTCTGGGAATTTACGGGCGGACTCCGAGGCGCAGGCGAAAGCTTTGGGGCTTTTTGAGCCTTCACGTATTAAGTGATGTGCGATACAGAATTTCCTTTTTGGGCGATATTTTCTTTGCACTCCTTTCCTTTCAATCTTAATTTTCTTTTGTGTACGGAATATTGAGGCATTCAATAGATCCTTTTTCCCTTTTTCTTTGTCTTAGAAAGAGAGCAAGAATAGAATCTCAAATTTGATCGCGACGGATTTTATAAAACAATAGTCTGTTGGGGTTTTATATGCTAGTCTAAATTTGGACGCTGCTACATCCTGGCTGTTTTTTTCAAGCAAAGCCAACTCGACTAGGCTATTATCTTGCATCCCATGTGATCCTGAACTAAGGATTCCACCAATAGTAGAAGATGTCTCTAATTTGACATAGGGACGTTGCGTCTGAAACATGCTTAGGATTTTTGCGGGAATTAACGATAGCATGAAGAAAAGAACTGCGATGTAGTTATTATTATAGCTATTATTATAGCTATTATTATAGTTATTATTATAGTTCTTATTATACCGTAAGTACACGATTAAAACGTCATAGGCATAATATAACGGCCTGCCTTTTAGGGCTACGATCGACTTCCTTCACAGAACACAGTTTTTGAGAAAATCAATAGTGTCCAGGGCGGATTCAAGAAAAAGGGGAGACTTTGGTGCCAAGAGATCTTGATCTTGAATTTCATCTTATTCATCTTATCCAACCAATCATAACTTGTCTTAAATTGACAAATAGCCCGAGTGGATATTCTCCATTCGTGAACGGGACCGAGACGGGCCACCACGGTGATGGAGTAACAGGACTTAACTGAAACCATAACTGAGCAGTTATTGACCTCAATCCCCAAAGAGTCTCCACAACGTAATATTTCCCAGCAGAACTATGGAGTCAAATGGATATCCCAGCCATAATGATCGACAACTCGATGCTGAAAAAAACCTGGTTAAGGGCCCACTTACTCGTGCAAGCGTTTACCCCGTGGCTCCAGTTTTGTCGATGCACGATGTTGTACATAAGGACATGGAGACCCGGCATTCTGGACACTAAGCGCTACCCAACTTCACTCACATTCATTAAGCACTTGCAATTTTTTTTTCCCGAGATGGGGTCCGAATACGGTGCCACGGCTGAGTCCAAGGCCCAGATTGATCTCGGCCCCGTCACCATCTGGTGGGCTGTTTGGGCATGCGTGTGGACGTCCGCCCTCGTGGCCGGTATGGTCTATCTGATCGCTAACCGCGATATGCCGACACTTCGCATTCGAGGCCTTGCTCTATCGTTAACCTCTATCGCTGTCCTTCATTTATACTGGATCCCGACCCAGTTCGGTACTATGATCGGTACCCTCTTGCCGGGTGATTGCGGCTATTGGCTTATGGGGACTCTGTTGCCCTGTGGCATGGCGCTTTTCCATGGCTCTAACACTCGTTTTCAACATGTCGCGAAGCTCCAGAGGAAATATGCTCTGGATGGGCACCGTTTTACTGAACCGCCTGCCTTGGAAAACAAGGATGGGCTGATCAATCGTTTCCGTGCTCTCAGATATACTACCAAGATTCTTATTTACGTTGGTATCGCAATGTTTGTTCAGGTATGATTACCTCACCTTCTCCTATATATAACAACTCTTATCTAACTCGCCTTCTCCCGTCTCATGCAGGTGTTCCTCACTATCCTCATGTGGTTAATCTCTCGCAAGTACCATAGCTCATGGGGTATCCCCGGTACCGAAGTCCATGGTACCCCCGCAGAGGTGCTCGCGGCACAAGGCGCAGGATGGGAATGGTGGCCCGGTGTGGTCTCGCAGTTCTTCTGGTCTTGGATCGTTGCCCCCGTCGTCCTCTGGAAATCCCGCAACATCCACGATACCCACGGCTGGCGCGTCCAGACCATTGGCTGTGCTGTTTCCAACCTTCACGCTACTCCAATGTGGCTCATCGGCCTCTACGTCCCCGCCATGGCCCCGGTCAACAAGGTCTTCGTTCCTCCTCAATGGTAAGTTCTAAACCAACCAACATAACCATAAAGTCCTACTTTCTAACGGAATTATTCTATAGGATCTGCGTATCCATCATGTTCATCGAAATCTTCACGGTCTTCCTCCCCTGCTGGGAAGTCATGCGCCACCAATCCCTGCGACAAGAAACCCTCGAATCGATCGCACGCTGGGAACTCAAAGTCAAATCCGCCGGCTCCGAAGAAAAGTCCCTCCACTCCGACATGACAACGGTAGCATCCATTATGTCAGGCTGGAAGTCCAACAGCTCGACAAGCACCCTCAACTCGCGCGACAGCATCCTCACAATGAGCGCCCTCGAACACGTCCTCGAGCGCAACCCAGCCCCACTCCAAGAATTCTCCGCTCTCCGCGAATTCTCCGGTGAGAACATCGTCTTCCTGACCAGCGTCGCGGAATGGCGTAGCCGACTACCACAATGCATCAGGGACGGCAGCGCACTGCGAGAAAGGAATAAGCGCGAAATCGTCCGCGAAGGCTTCAACCGTGCGCTGCACATCTATGCTGAGTTTATTAGCGTCCGTCATGCCGAGTTCCCCGTCAACATCTCGCACCAGGAGCTGCGAAAGCTAGAGGACGTTTTTGAGAAACCGACACGTCTTTTGTACGGCGAGGAACGCGAATGCGATCCCACTAGTCCCTTTGATAAATTCGCTTTTGATCTCCCGTCGCCGGCTTCTGCCGACTCCGGGAAGACTATGGCCGCTGATATGGTAGGGTCGATTAAGGACCGCGTTCAGTACTGGGGTGATATTCCTGTGGACTTTGACGCTTCGATCTTTGATGCTGCTGAGGCTAGTATTAAGTACCTCGTGCTTACGAATACTTGGCCTAAGTTTATCAAGGATCGTAGGACTTCGCTTGGTTCGATCGAGACTCTCAAGATTGGAATTGAAGTTTAGATGTTTTACTGTGTGTGGCATGCGAAATGAGTTTAAGTCGTTTTAAGATTTGGGTCGGGATTTTTGGACTTTTGATGTCTTTCTTTCTTTCTTTTTTTTTTTTTCTCTTCTCTGGCTTTCGGATATCCCTACACTTGTTGGGGGTCTCCTAGGCCGTACATACTAATTGGTTCTCATGGTTGGATATAATATTCTGGATACCCACACACAACGTATTTCTTATTGATAATATTATCAAACACATTCTTTTATCAGACTACAAAAAGACGTGGCTGTAAGCAGTATTCCTTCTACCCAGTAAAGTTAACACATCGAAGTAGCATGTCGACAAACTATAGCCGGCTGCGCTTACAGCGGGAAAAAAGAAAAATAAAATAAAATAAAATAAAAAAGCAATTAAATGACGTTTCAAGTAGAATGTGCACTGTCCATAAATTTGATATTTTTGGGATATAAACTTTCATATTTCATCACCATCCGCAATTGTACTAATTTTCAAAAGCCTTTACCACACTGGCACTCCCCTCAGCCCCTAACCCAGACTTCTTCGCCATGAACAACACACTCAAAGCAGCATTACCAAGATTCAAAGGACAGTGAAGATCACGAGCCTTCTGCACAGCCTTCTCTAGACGAGCAGTAGCACCCTCAACGGTCTCCCCACTCACATCCTGTCCAAGTCCCTCAATAATCTCCAACCCCTTCGTCATGAATTGCCGACTAGCACCAGCAGCATCGGCAACAAGAGTATAAAACTGCTTCAAATCGACTTTGAGATAGCGCGCAAACGAAATAGCCTCCGCAGCCGCAACGAGGTTAGTCACCTCCATCAGATCCAACACCAGCTGCAACGCCTCCGCCGTCTCCTCCTCAGCCTTAGTAGAAGAGACCTTCGTAATCGGCTCAGCAAAGTACTGTCGCACCATAGACGAGTCATCCACCGGCCCATAGCCCTGTAGCAAAGCAGACAAATAAACCTGTTCAGCAGTGGAGCATAGCGGAGTCGGGAATTGACTTTGCCGTGCAGAGGTCGTGATAATCCCCTGATCGGAAACTCAATTAGCAAACTTAGCCCCTGAACCAGCACCCACCCCTAAAATTAAACATCGAATATCCTTACCACATCCTTAAGAATAATAGTCAAAGCACTAGCACCCGGATGCCAATCCTCATCCAACATCCTCTGCAACCGATTCTCATGCATCCAACTCCAAGCCGGACTGGATTTAATCGCCTCAGCCGTCTTCACAGCATCTAACCCCAGTCGCGCCGCGAAGCCCTGAGCTTCACTAGCACCCAGAATATGGATACCTGCCAGCACCTGGTGCACCATCTTCATATTACTACCTGCGCCAATCCCGCCGGGGACAAGGTACAGCTTATTAGCGTCCGACATCTCCTGCAGCAGGAACCGGCCATTCTCTAGCGCGGCATCTGGAGCACCGGCCATGATTGACAATGTGCCGGCTGCGGCGCGGAGCGCGCCACCGGATACGGGTGCGTCGATGAAGGATATGTCGCTTCTGCCGATGGAGGCGAGCTCCGCGGCGACAGATTGGGCGTAGGATGCTGGGACGGTGGAACAGAGGAGGAGGGTTGCATTTTTGGGGAGGGCTATAGGATATACGGGTTAGTTTGTAGTTTTGATTTTATTTCTTTAATTATATTTCTGGTTTGAGCAGGTCGGGGTGGGGGTGGTGTTTACCTGCAACTATACCATCATCACCGAAAAGAACACTCTGCACCTGCGGCGCTGAAGCTACCATGCAAACATAGAAATCCTTTTCCTTTGCTGAGTCCTGTAGTGAGGACGCTGGGATCCCGCCTGCGGCCTTGAAGCGCTCTACTGAGGCTGGGAATACGTCGAAGCCGTGGACCGGGTAGCCCTCTTTCACGAGATGTGTGGCCATCCCGAAGCCCATGGCGCCTAGGCCGACGAAGCCGATTGAGGGTTTGGACATTGTTGTTGGTTGTTGAGACGAAAATGTATGGAATTGAATAGAATAAACGCTGGAGAATATTTCCTGAGGAAATGTCAATTGTTAATGTATAAAACGAAATAAATTGGCTCGAGCTGCGTGGGGGTTTTATGAGGGGAAGATGTTTGGGGAAACGCGGGATGGTTCGGTGGAAAGTCCGAGGGGTTTACCTTGCTTTTGCCGAAAGGTGATGGCTTTGCCAGGGTCCGATTTTGGATTTTGATGGTTTCTTGATTGCCGGTTAGTAGATTTGAGTCTTGTTATTCTTGTTGGAGTGGCACTTGGAAGTTCGGAGGTTGGCCGACATCACAGGCCAAACATCACTTTTATACTTGAATGGCTAATCAAAGGTCCTTCGATTGGGTTTGACGAAGCAGTGATATATATATGCTTAATATTCACAACAAAAACCAGATAAGAACTATTGCTCCCATCTATCTACTTTCCATATTAGCGGGTGTATAGTCGCATAAGAGCCCGTTATTTCTTTATTTCAATGTTAGTACCAACAATTAACTCATTTGTTTTGGAACATTTAGCCTAATCTAACCTATTGGAAATCAAAAACACCACCATTATCCTTTCTGGGTTAAAGTAAATTCTGCCAGCCCTGGCGAATAGCTCAAAGTGACGTAGCTTCCGGAGCAACTCCGACACTCGGATGTGAAGCGACCAACTCGGACAACACGAGACTATATAACACGGCCTTCGGTCTACAATAAACCTCAAAACTACAAACCCCTCATTTCCCACGAAAGGATCTCCTCACCCTCACTCTCCCACTCACACCCTCCCAAACCCCAAAAAAATGACTCTCCAAGAAAACCGCGCCCTGCGCATCCTAGACCACGCCTCCGCAAACCACTATGGCATCCCCGCAATGTGCTGCTACAACGTGGAAGGCATTCTGGCCACTGTCCGCGCCGCCGAAGTCAAAGGCTCGGCAGCAATGATCCTCCTCTTCCCATGGGCGATTCACTACGCCGACGGCCTCCTCGTCCACGCCGCCGCCGAAGCCGCGCGCAGAGCCACCGTACCCATAACCGTGCACATGGACCACGCACAAACACCGGAGATAATCCGGTATGCGGCTGATCTGGGCGGATTCGACAGCATCATGGTCGACATGTCTCACTACGAGAAGGCGGAGAACCTTTCGCTGACGCGTGAGCTGGTGGAGTACTGCCATGCGCGCGGAATCGCGACAGAGGCGGAGCCTGGTCGGATTGAGGGTGGTGAGGATGGTGTTGCTGATACGGCTGATCTTGAGGGGTTGCTTACGACGCCGGAGGAGAGTCGGGAGTTTGTTGATACGGGGATTGACTGGCTTGCACCTGCGTTCGGAAATGTTCATGGGGAGTATGGGCCCAGAGGGATTCAGTTGGAGTATGAGAGGTTGAAGTCGATTAATGAAGCTGTTGGTCGGGAAGTGAGGCTTGTGCTTCATGGGGCAGATCCGTTTACTGAGGAGATCTTTAAGAAGTGCATTGATTGTGGGGTTAGCAAGATCAATATCAATAAGGTGTTAAATAATGAATATGTGAGGGTCCAGGCAGAGATGGCTGGGAAGGTGCCTTTGACGACCTTGTTGGAGGAGGCGACCAATGCGATGCAGAAGGCTGTTGAGGGGTGCATTGATCGGTTGGGGTCTGGGGGGAAATACCCGTCGAGTTAGGAGATGAGGTTGGATGGTCTTGTATCTCATTTGTTGAGATGGATTTTGTGTGATAAACTTGTAGATTTCAGAACGCATGAAGAGCTAAAACAGATCCTATAAATAAAGCGATTGGACATATGAAAGACTTCAGGACGAAAAGAAAGTAAAAAGAGCCACCAATCGATTGCCAGAGGTACGGAAGTATAAAAGAGCAGAAGCGACCGACGTCAACATTCGACACATAGGTTAATATTCCACACCCCACGGAAATCATAACAGACAATAATCTCAACGACGGAGACCGAGGCCAGCCAGGGGACCGGCAACGAGGCCTCCGAACACCGGAACGTTCCCGGCCAGGCCACCAAGGGGGCCAGGGGCAGCAGGGGTGCTAGAGGCAGCAGATGCCGGAGTGGGAATTTCGCTAGAAGGAGAAGTAGAGCTGCCCTTAGCTGGAGTTGGGATAGTGGCGTAGGAAGGAGTAGCGATGGCGGCGTAAGAAGGAGTAGGGATTGCGGAGTAGGAAGGAGTAGCGATGGCGGCGTAAGAAGGAGTAGGGATTGCAGAGTAGGAAGGAGTAGCGATGGCGGCGTAAGAAGGAGTAGGGATTGCGGAGTAGGAAGAAGTGGGGATGGCGGTGTAGGAAGGGGCAGGGATTGCGGAGTAGGAAGAAGTGGGGATGGCGGCGTAGGAAGGAGTGGTGATGGCGGTGGGGGTAGCCTTGGAAGTGACATGAGACTGCGAGGTATCAGAGGAGGGGTGAGGGAGATCCGAAGGCTGAGAGATGACAGGAGCTGGGAAGTCCGCGACTCCATGGGCGGAAGTGGGCTTGGCTAGCACGACGTGGGTGGTGGATGGGTGTGCAGCGGCCTGAGCGGACTGCGCGGACTGTTGCTTCTCAGCCAAGGCCTGTTCCATTGCGTCGAGGGCGGAGGGGAAGTCGTCGAATCCATCATCGTTGTCTACGATGCTGGAAGGGCCCGCTGGGTTGAAAGGGAAGCCGCCAGTGACGCCTCCGACATCGTTGCTGGGCTTGGGAGCAGCGGGGGCGGCGATGACGCCGATGGTGAAGAACGCCAGAGAGATGTATGAGACGTGCATTTTTATTGGTATAGTGACCTTGGTCTTGGGAGTAAACGAGAGTATGGATGGTGAGAGAAGCAAACGAAGGAAGGGCTAGTGAACGAAGGAAGAGTTATAATGGTCTTTATGTAGGCAATATAGGGCTCTGATGGACTGTTATGATTGCTGTTTTCTCCCATGCCTCGCGCTCCTATTGATAGAGATCAACATCGCTGGGATGGCGTTCACATAGCAGGGAACGGCTGCGAAGGGTTCCGTATGCCGCGTATGCTGAGTTCCCGTGGAATGATCGCCTAGGGACCTGCCCAGCAAAGAGAAAAGCTTGTCAGATTCTGGATATCAAATCCCACGATCAACATTTTATGTGCGGAGTAGCCAAAGTGTGCAAACTTCGTGGCTGGAATATACCGGAGGTAATGTGACGTGGTGGCGCACAGGAAGCCCTTTCAGTTCCCTCGTGGATGTGAGTTCAAAATACGTGGAGTTTACCATCTAGGGCAATAAATAGGACTGCTTTTCCCAACCAGTTTGCTACCTAAGTCTCTTAGGCTGATGGTCCCCAGAAAGAGCAAACTACGTTGTATAATAGTATCACTATAACAAGTATGGCATAAACCCTTCGGAAAGACGTCTGCTCCAACACACAAAGTGATCAGACCTTATAAAAAATTCCTTCAAAGGGAGATGAATGTGTAGGGGATATTCTGGCACGTAGGTATCCCCTAGCAACCCTAACTACCCCTTGCAGCGCCAGCCAATCAGTCCATGATACATACGAGCTTACTTTGTATTGAGACTGGCTACATGTACTTTTCTTACTTCTACATTGTAGTCACATATTCGCAGGATCGCGTCAGATATGATCTGTCTTTAGCTTTGATCGTGCGCACAGTGTTGTGGTCTGTAGGGTTGCATCGAGCATGATCCCGCTCCTATCCCTAACTTGATGACATGACTTGCTTGATATGAATAGAGCCTTGTTGGTACATCTTGAATCTACTGTTCAATTCATTCAATGTTCAGTTCATTAAATTCTCGCTTGCAGGGTGGCGATTTACAGCAATAGTTTACCTGGAGTCAATTTAAAAAAAAATACCGTAGTAGCAACATTCTAATGCTGGATGAAGTGCTCCGTATGTATACCACTGTATGCATTATGAGTGAATAAACTAGTATTCTTCAATATATTCCGTATTATAGGCTAGAATTCCTACTATCAAAAATGAGTGACTATACCGAATGCAATGTTCTTGGCACCAGTTCGACCATTGGGCTCTTCATCGTGCCCAGCTAGAACATACCACTACAGTATAAGGAATATTTCTATATCTGTATAAGAAATGTTACATTAGAGGGAAAGAAGTCAATTGTTCTATAACCATATTATATAACACCTAACAACAGCTGCTATTTTTTAAACCTCGGTAATATCTATAATGCTTTTTTATTTGAACGCAAATTTTGAAAATAGCCCAAAAAACGGTAGACATGAAGACAAAGTTTAACTAAACAGCTTAATATAATATAACGATATAAGCTTACTATAAATAAACCGTTTAATAACGGTCACTAGTACAGTCTTATTAATTTGTACCTCGTACTTCCAACTGTCAACCTCTGCGTTGGGTGGATAATCATGCTTACATAATGGATGGGTCACGGCCAAGCCTGCCCAATTAGGACTAGTTCATCGATTTTGAAACTTTTCAGCCTCCAGTGGGAGGGGCTTCCTTGGAATATCCTATATCCCTCACTATTTTCTATTTTGTAAATCATTCTAATTATGTGATTTAGAAGAATCATCGGATAGTTGATTTTTCCAAATTGAAGAGGTATGGCTGATCTTTTCCAAGGTATGTAAAACCTCGGGTTTACTTTTTACCCGTTATGGTCAGTGATATTCTGCTCTACATGTAGTTTCCCTTTCACCTGTTCTAGACAGTAGTATTAGATCCAACGAGTTTAGGGATATCAATGTCAAGATGGAAACATATATAAAGGACACCCTTAACATGCCAATTCAATTATTTATCATTCATCTCTTCTGAATCATCTACATTCGTCCTCTGCTTTAATCTTCACTTCAAGATGCGACTCTTCGAACTTCAGGTTGTCGCTTTGGCTCATCTTGTCATCTCCCTGAATGGCTTTGCTGTTGCAGAGCATGGGAACAGCTCACTCCACGCTCGCGCTACACACGTTGCTTCTCCCGTGGCATCTTCTTCGCCCTCGCCTTCCCCTACTGGAGATACTCAGAAGCCACCGGAATGCACCGGGGTCTTTAGACAGTGCTGTAGTGACTCCACGACCACTACTGAGGATGTTGTATAACCCATACTCCTGACGAGGCAGTGGATCGAAATGTCAATGTGTCCTCCGGGATTGAGGTCTAGTTTCAATTCATTTAATTCCGCTTCTCTTTTAGTTATGTATCTATGTGCCGATCGTCCTTATTGTGATTATTGTGATTATTGTTAAGATTTATTCGTTTATTGGTGACCGATATAGTTGTTATTTCTTTCTTATTGCTTCATCCCTATATATATATACAAGAGATCTTTAAATCTTCACTAAGGCAAATGACACTATACATATAATAAGTATCCTCGGAGTTGCGTTCATCGGGTAATTGAAGAATTCAATAACTACCAGAATAAAATATCCGTCATCATCCAGCCACGTAGTTCCTCGAGTGCATATCAAGTGAAGCATACCCCACAACATGGTTACCTGCATATGTAATACGCACGTCAAAAAGCACCGCAAAAGCCCCTTGCAATAGACAAAAGTACAAGCTCCACTCCCAGATATCATCGTACTCATGATCAACCCCACAGATAAACCTTGCACAAGCTATAGTAACAACCCTACTCCTCCACAAGGCCCTCCACTGTAGCCTTAACATCAAACAAACCAACCTCTGGACACCCAATCCCCATGTCACGATAAACACAGATATTATCGGTAGTAGTCTCGTACAGCGCAAAGTTGATGCGACGAGCAATATGTGCCAGAGATAAGTAGATCTCCGCATAGGCAAGACTAGATAAGACTTAGTATATGAAATCCGGCGTGATACATAAACAACACTCACTTCATTCCCAGACATTGTCTGCTTCCCTTGGTGAACGATACAATATACCGACTCAGATACTCTCCCTTACCTGCAGCGCGGATCCAACGCTCCGGGTCAAATTTCTCTGGCTCAGGGAAGAGCGTGGGGTCCATATGGACGAAGTAGTTCGACTGACTGACCGGAGTCTGCAATCCAACAAGTATCAGTAACTTTTCTAGGAAAGAGGGGACTGAACCGGAATGTTACATCCAGTAAGCATCATTCACTTACCCCTGCAGGGATAACCCAATCCTTGTAGAACATAGGTTCAGTCGGTGAAACACGAGCCAGCCGGGCTGTCATGCCGTGGCTAAGACGGAGGCCTTCATTAACGACACCCGTCTTATTCACGGAACGACGAAAATCAGCGATCCACAATAAAAGTAAGAAAGGACTTGGAAACAATAACCCACCAAGTATGGTAATTTCTCCAAATCCACCCACGAAGCCTTGGACAACGGTGTCGCCAACACAGTCTTCAACTCCGCGCGCAGCTTCGCCATAACCTCCTTGTTGTGGATGAGATAGAACATCGCAACAGTAATAGACCTAGCGGTAGTCTCCGTACCAGCACCAAGCAACAGCGCAGATTCATCCTCTAGGCGATCAAGCGTCCTCTCATTCTCAGGCAACTCCAACCTCGTCAACGCATCAAATATAGTCGACCTCGCCTCAGAATCAATCTTCTGCAGACCCTGTTTCTGCAAAGTATCATCCGCCTGCTGTCTAAGTCTAGCCTTTAAATCAAACAAGTCCGCCATCTGTGGCTGCAGCCAGCGCAGCAGCTTAGGCGGCGCATTCCTAAAAACAGAGATAAGGAACGGGAAGAACCGGTTAATGTGGAACATAACCATCAACCCATTAACCGCGTCGACGAGGTCATTGCTCTGCGATCCCTTCTCGCCGTCCAGGTAGCCATAGCTCCAGCCGTAGCAGTAATTGGTAATGACATCTGCAGTCAGCGCGGCGAAGTCTAATTGCAGGTGCAGCACATCGTTGGTTTGGTGGGCTTGCTCGAAGCGCGCGATTAGCTTGTCGACTTTGTCGTGGATGGACGGGCCAAGGTCTACCACCGAGCGCTTGGAGAAGTAGTTACTCAGCAGGCCGCGGCGGAAGCGGTGGTGGTCGTGGGTTATTGTTCCTACGAGGGAGTTTGGCGCGCCGAAGGCGATGGCATATTTGGGGTCTTTCGAGCGTCTGCGTGAGGCGCCAGCGTGGATTTCGTCGTAGTAGCTTGAGTCTTTGATGTGCACTTCTCGTGGGCTGATTCGCACGATTGGGCCTAGTTTATTAGTCACATTTGCATTTCTGTATGTTTTTGCTGACTTGGATAGTTGATGTGGATCTCGGATCTATATACTTACCATATTTCTCGTGCATGCGCTCAATCTCCCATATGTACATGCCGCTCTTGACCACATCGTAATAGAACTCATAGAGAAAGGTCGCAGCAGCGAGTTTTGGACCGGGGAAGCTGGACAACGGGTGGAAGTACACATGGTACACAGTGCGCAATACCAGCAGTCCCAACGGCAACGCCAGTACAGACACGTATAGTGCCAGGGAATCCATTATAGACGAATCTACTCACTAATAGTGAGGAAGAGTAGCGGTGGACCGCCATGTCTTATATAGGAATGGCCAGGACAAGGGTTCAGATTGAATAATAATATAAAAAAAAACAGAGCCGTGCCCACGAGGTTGGTAGTGCATAGAGAGTGCATAATACAAAGTTAATGTACAAATCAACTCTTTCCTAATTCAACACACTTATTTAGTTAATCCAACCGTATTTGGATATTATGACGCGCCGGGGGCCCGCTAGGGTGCTATATGTAGCTATCATTCGTCGAGTACTATCTGAATTCGCCCACCGTGCAGATGCAAACGCATCTAACGCTAGGGTCAGGTCGAACACAATCCTGCTTGTCCATCAGCCTGGGAACAATGGGCCCCCCTGGTTTGAAAGGATGTGATGTAGATGACGAGGTACAGCTGCACGGCCGATAAATGGGCTGATATACCCACCTCCGTATGAGCCGGCCGCTGGAAGGACCCAATGAATCCCGGTGTTCGGTATTGGATTCCATAGCCTGCTTTTAGCTGCAGCCCGACAAGAGGACAAAGCAAATAAACCAAGAAAAATGTAGGGAGCCAAAAACAAAAACAAAGACAAAGTGGACTATCTGGTAATCGAAACCAGGACCTCCCGCACGCTCGCAATAATGCGAAGCGGGCGCACTACCAACTGTGCTAACAGCCCAGTTGAGTATCGCTCAAGACCTTAGTACGATTTGTGGAGGCAGTGTACAAGTGGCCTTTTTAGCGTGCTAGTCGTCTTAGCCGAATGAGTCTAGCCCAGACAGGGATAGGTGTATCAGGATTCGCTTAGCATGTGTTAGGGAAATACGCTGTGAATATAGATTGCAGATCTTTATATGGATATATATATATGGATATAGATGGAAATATCAGACATCTAGATTGAGAGATTGATACAATACAAAGGTATAGGTTGCGCTATCATCATGCAGCCGAATGGACTACCAGTGCATTCCTGTAAGAAACAAACGTCCACAATTTACACCTATAGAAACATGCGTGAAGTAGTCGGGAAAAAAAAAGTAAAAGAAAATAGGAAATAGAGAAACAGAGGGAAGGCGACTGGAAAGGCATTGGACAGAAAAAGAAAATTCCGCGGTACTCCGTTTTATATCCACAAATCTAGACAGCCAACATCTTCTTGATCTCGGCAATTGCGCGACCTGGGTTAAGACCCTTGGGGCAAGTCCGTGTGCAGTTGAGAATGGTGTGGCAACGGTAGACGCTCATGCTGTTGTCGAGAGCGGCCTTGCGCTCTGCGGTCTTCTCGTCACGGGAATCGGCCAACCAACGGAAGGACTGGAGCAGGATGGCGGGTCCGAGGTACTCCTCACTGTTCCACCAGTACGATGGGCAGGAGGTTGAGCAGCAGGCGCAGAGAATACATTCGTAGAGACCGTCGAGCTTCTTGCGATCCTGGGGGGATTGACGGAATTCGAGACCCTGGCAATTGTTAGTTTTTGTAACTGATGTTGGTATGTAAGAGAACTCACGTCTTCGGTAGGAGTGTCGCGCTGGAGATATGGCTTGATGGACTTGTATTGCTTGTAGAAGTGGGTCATATCAGGGACAAGATCCTTGACGACGTAGGTGTGAGGCAAAGGGTAGATGCGAGACTCGGACTTGGTATCGGTGGGAATGCGGCCTATACGGACACAGGATTAGCTTTCATTCGGAGCTGTCGGATGCTTCGAGATTGCGCGTGTGCGGGTCCGGGTACATACACAAGCAGGCGAGAGTGTTAACACCGTCGATGTTCATGGCGCAAGAACCGCAAATACCCTCACGGCAAGATCTGCGGAAAGTGAGGGTAGGGTCAAGTTCGTTCTTTATCCGGATGAGCGCATCGAGCATCATGGGTCCGGTCTTGTTCAGGTCGAGGTCGTAGGACTGCATCTGGGGCTTCTCGCTGGGCTGGTCCGGGTTCCAACGGTAGACCTTGAAAGTCTTCATCTTGGGCTGCTCGGAGGGAGTAGGCTCGACGGTCGCGTAGGTGCGAGCGAAGGCAGGGCGGAACATCGGCCGCGACGCCGCGAACAATCGCGAAGTGGTACGGAGGGAAGCCATGGCGGGTGATCGGAAATGTGAAAAAACACCGAGGTGGAAAGGAGAGAGGATGGAGAGGGTGGAGAGAATGGGATTGATAGCAGAAAGACAAAATAAGAGGGGAGAGCTTTCAAAAATGTGAAGGTAGCGACGACGAAGTCGAGTTTCACAAACCAACAAAGATCCTCAACAACGAAATGAAGTCCAAGGAGTCTGTTCGCTAGTAACCTCGGGTTTGACGGGTCGGGTGTGTAGATGCTGACATCAGCGGGTCTTGGCCAATCAGATCCAAGGTGTTTACAAGCCTCGGGCGGACACGGCGTCAAGGAGATTCAGGGAATTGTCTACTGCCGATACTACACTCCGATATGATCATATATATGTCCTGAATACGGGTCAATTGGAAGTGTAAATGGGATGTGATTGATAAAATATATCAATCTTCTCATCTTATCTACTCCAAGCCTCCATTGATCAGTGATTTCCCCAGTCAAAACCCACAAAAACTGGGTGCCTCAGGCTATAAGGCCACTCCCGGTCTAGTTGCCGAGAGGGATAACGGCTACTCCGGTCAACTCACATGCCATCCATTGGAATCTACCACATTGTCACATTACGACTTCAATATATTCGACCATTACAGTAATCGCTAACCAACTAACGAACTAACCACGATTAACATAGTTCTGATGCCATTCATAGTCCCGATTTTCCGTCAAAAAGGCCCGAATAGCCTCACGCGGTGGCACGGGTTGACGGTCCAGCACCTCCCCCATGAGCGGATCAATCGTGCACGTCTCCCCCTTCGAAATACTCTCGTACCATGACAACAGCGCCTGGAAGAACCCTTCCGGCTTCCCACCCTCGTCATCAGCCGCTTTCAACCGCACAAACTCCTCTGGCGAAACAAGCTTGAACTGAACATCTCGGCCGGTCGTATCGTTGATCAGATCCACGATCTCAGAGAATGTGATAGTCTGCTGCGCAGTGAGCAGCACGATTTCTCGATCGTGTCCACCCTGAATCATCAACCGCGCATTCGCCTCGCCTAGCTCTGACCGCAGTGTAAAGGCAATCGGCCCGTCTGAAGGGACGTAAACGGTTGATGCGTTTGGATACCAGCCCATGAAAACCGGGAAGGCGTCTGTGTACAAACCCTCACGAATAGAGGTGAAGTTGATATCGGCCCTGGCTGGTGTGAGTGAAACTGGATGGATTATCACGGTCGGAGGCTTGGCTTACTGTTTTAGCATTTCCTCCGTCATCAGATGGCCTTGTTGGACGGCTGCCTTGGAGTTGGAAGTGTATCCACCGAATGCGAGAGATGTATACCATATCTGCAGCTTCCATGTTAGCTGGGATAGTAGTGTGGGGAATTTTTTGATGACTTGCGTGTTTCACGTTCATCTTCTTCGCTGCAATTACAAAGTTTTCGTGTTGCTTGCGCCGCTTCTCGATGTCGAAGGTGTTGGTGCTAACGAAGAACAGGTTCTCCACGTCTTTGAATGCGGTCTCTAATGTCTCTGGGTCGTCATAGCTCGCTACTCGGAATGCGATCCCTCGGTCTTCGAATTGTTTGCGATTTTCCTCTCTCGAGGACGCTGCAGCATACTCTGATGCCGGGACATTCGCAGCAAGGTAGGATAGGACTCCTGAACCGAGGCCTCCAGTTGCTCCTGTAATGAGGTATTTGAGGGTCATTCTCGTAGAAATTGAACGATTTGGTCAAGGATCACTGGGGAAGATCAATGTTGTAAATGAAGTTGATAGTTTATTCTCTAGAACATCAAGTGTACTTATTCTTTTAAACATCAAATGTTCACCATATGACAAATCCAGTGATCGTCCCGAAATCAGCAGCTTCGCATTAGAAACATATCGACTATTCATGAGGTTGGTAAGCACCAAAATCGATTATTTAACAGCTTGAACTACACCCTAAAGAGGTTGGGTCATGCATCTTGGCAAATGACAACGTTGCACTTGAGAGGCCAACTTGGGGCCAAGTCTGGGGGCCAGTCTTGGGGGCCAGTCTTGGATCAACATTGGGGCCAGGAATAGTAGTCATGACGACATCTCGTGTTTTGTTCAACCGAAGGGCCGCCAACCGTTTTATATTCAAATGTGAAGCTAACCCGACAACATCACGAGACACAAAGCTTAGTCTCGGACCCCGGCATTGTAGAATCATTCGGAAATTATCTTTCGAAACTCTGGATCAATTTGAAAAAGAGAGGGTTGGAAAACACTGAGAAAGCTTCATGCTTCCGCGTTCTTCCTAACCAATTATACATCCACGTATGGAGTACAGTGACCTCCACAATAACTGAAACCAAGAGCGCATAAGCGCTAAATTCCAACGCCACTCGGACGAGAAAAGAAACCCCATTTTATGTCTCACTAAACAAACTAAGCGCCGTACACTAGTTATTCAACGCCTCTAAAGACGCCCAAAAGGAAATTACCCCACCTATTTACCGAACCCCCCCTTTAGTTTATCACGTCTTTTCTTTACTTGTTGCACGACGCCAGCACCTGAGGGTGTTTCATCAGATGATTCATTCCGGCTTGTTATGCTTCGTATACTATCTTGGCGGATTGGGAGACCGAGATTTACAAGCTCGTCGGTTAATTCGATAAACTCCCCAAACCTACAGCCCTTGCTTGCAATATCGATTGGGCTTCTCAGTCACATCCTCCCCTCGTAATTGTACGTGGGCCATGAATCCACAACTGTGGGATACAGTCTAGTTTCTGGGAAGGCGATTAGACTGTCAAGTTTCGCCGAGTTGAGATCGTAATGCTGCCTGAGAGTTTTTGGGAAGTGGATGTGGCTTTCTCCATAGCAGGAAAGGATTTCAAATACGGGTGTATCGAGGTCCACCTTGAGACGCTGGCGTGGCGTATCAGGTAGAAGCGCTTGCATGGTGGGATCATCTCTTGAAGCCATGGTATGGCCAACAAGATAGATATTGATAACTTGAAGTGAGCCCAGATGAGGATAGATGAGACAGCTGGTGATATGGGTAATTGTCGAGATAGAACACTCTATTTATGTGGTTTTAGACACTGCTGTTCCAACTGATATTGTCTGTATCACATCGCCGTTATTGAATAAAGGACTAGGTGATCGGTTTGTTCTTATGACCTGTGTGCCCCTATATGTTAATATATTTTTGGTTCCACCAACCTTGGAAAGAAACGAAAAGACATAGTCAATGCCATATATGGAGGCGCGTAGGATTCCTTGAGAAAAAAAGGCTTTTAATATGAATAAGTAGCCTAATATATATATATATCTATTTGATATACTAGAACAAAAAAAAAAGCATTTCTAACTCTCCCTAGACCCGGGCTTCTCAACCCTAACAACACCGTCATGCCCACGATTAATAGTAATCTCATTCGTAACCCGAATCACGGGACTCCTCGCACGACTCTCCACCTCCCCACTGTGATCACTCGCTCTCGACGCACCTCTAACATCCCTCGAAACTGATATCTCAGAAGGCATCATCTCATAATCATCCTTCCCAATCTTCGACCAATTAATGAGACGCTTGCTATCCCGATTGCTGGATACCGCACCGCTTGCAATAGTCTTAGAATGACCGAGACTGTGCAGTTTTGTCGAGCGCGAGCGCGTGTGGCTGGACGTGTACTCGGTCAAGTGTGCGAACAAGTTTCCGAAGACGGGTTTCAGCGCCGGCACCGAGAGCGCGATTAGAGTTGCCGCGATCTCGGCGTTCTCGACACACATCATCGGATTGTAGGCCCAGCTGCCGTCGGAGTCCCATTGACCCTCTGCTACAAGCCAGACGCGGATTGCGGAGATTATGATTACGCTGTGTGGTATTAGTTTTGTGGGACTTGTTTGACAATCTGGGAGGTGGGGGTTACTCACAGGATACCGGGGAACATCACGATGGATAGCTTGATCTTCTTTTCTAAAGAAACGTGCAGTCCCTTGATGAGTGCTGCTGGGATGGCGAACATCAATATATCACAGGCGAGAGATAGCCCCGAGTTCACCGAATACACGAGTCCCCATGAGAGGCAGTTGTATGTCTTCGGCTCAACTTGCCACTCGTAGGGCCAGAGCCCTGTGACCGGTTTGCAGTGGAAGATCAGGAGGAAGAGCTGGGGTAGGTACGCGGCGAAAAGGAGTGGCGCGGCGATGATAATGCTTAGGTGGAGTTTCGTTGAGCGGGCTGTGAGCCGGAAGTAGAAGGCTAGACCGGACAGACGACATAGGAATAGAGCCGTTGTGTAAAGAATGTGAGCGATGAAGTCTAGAACTTCGGTTTGGCGGACTGTGGGCAAAGATAGCACATATTGGATGTATTCGATGTGGCGACCGCTTCCCAAGTTGATCAGGATGATTGAGAGGATGACAAAGGCAATATAAAGCATCTGTGATTGGAGTTATTGTTAGTTTTTTTTTTCTTTGTTTATGTATATTTTTTGTAACTATTCATAACCAATTTGGTCGTGCGTGGTGCTCATGCATATTTATTTAGTGCAGTGTAGATCTGGGGTGAAAAGTGGAGGATCGTACCAATGTCACGACGGCCAATGCATCATCCAAACCAATCTTCTTCACAATGAATGCCCGGGCATATAAACGTATAATCATCAACAGGCCCGTGAAACATATCATGAAAATGATTCCCACAATGGCAGAGCTATCGCGGGACTGTGCTAGATATTCGAGCGTGACCCCACTGGGTATTCTCCCTGCTGCATCTGCAGCAAGGATATCATCGGGGATGGTCATTGCAATTTCAAATGAGTGACATGATAAATAGGAACGATGTAGTAAAGGTATAGACCGAGAGGAGCTTACCCATCACGTCCGGAAGGCCTGGTATATTATCTCAAAGAACCCGAAGGCAAAGATATACTTTTCTTTGTTCTCTTAATTCTCTCAAAGGAAAGTGGATATGAGCGGATCTTCCTTCCAATAATTCCATGGGATCCCGACCCCAGTGACCAACTGAAGTGCCGTACCAAACATTGGAGACTTTTGAAACCACGGACTTGGTTGCATTCGAAGTTTATGGAGTTTGGTCAAATCGAATAGTTTATTATACTTTGAGTATGTAAACAAAGTATCTTACTGGATAGATGTCATATGTCAGAATATATACCGAGTATAGAGATGTGAATTAGAACTAAATCAAAAGCCCTAACTCGGAACTAATGCGACCTGCTTTTTCCACGTGGGTGAAAAAGTCGGTTAGCATGCTATTCTTGGACTTCATAGGCCCAGTCGCGATGTTACATTTTCTATCAATCAACATCCACCATGCTATGGCCGAGCTAAGCCGAGCTGGTCGTACGATCTTTGACACCATGGGGGACATCGCGCAAGGCAGCCAATCAAAAATACTTTCAAAGTGGATTGGAGATCGAACGGAGCGCAACTCGGTTCCGATGGTCTTTGATGGGGCCGGCAGACTTTTCGGATCCAGTTAAACTTGCAGTTTTAGGCAGGTCGTCTCGGTTCTATAGCCAACTAGTACCAAGGTATGTTTTTTTTTTTTTTTTTTTTGGAATATAGGTAAACTAGTGCGCAAGGTACCTAGATTATAGATTAAAAAAAAATGTCCCTATTGGTCATTTTTGAACATTTTTCACGGAGGTTTGTACTGAACAAACGCCACTAATTCAAATAGTTTGGCAGATATAGTGGATGGAATGAGATTAGACCGAATAGAATAGCCGTCTAAAGCAGATAGGAAAAAAAAAAAAAAAAAAAAAAAGAGCTTAAAGGAAGAAGAGAAATATTCAAAACCGTGAAAAATGTTGAAAAATGTCTTGGGAATGCGGCCCCGGTTTATGTGCAATTAGTCACGTACCAAAGTTAACTATCTTGCAAGTATAACAACACGAACTCCCCCGAAATATAATCATTCTGCCACATGGTTTTTTGGCGGGGCTTTTCAATCTAATTCCCATCATGGCACCTTTAATTCAAACATTGGTGAGCGGCCTCGCCTTGGTGAGCTCTGTTGTTGCTCAGGAGTCCGACTGCTTGGTCGAATCCCAGATCCTAACTGATCCCTACCTCTATGACTTCCCTCGCCTGGGCGGTGATGGTGCCGCACAGTTCCCTATGCGCACCTGCCACGGCTTCAAGCTGGAGGAGGCTACTATCGACCAGATCCAGGCCGAGCTGGCGATTGGTACTTTCACCGGCGTCCAGTTGCTGGACTGCTACATGGACCGTGTTTACCAGACCCAGCCTTACTTGAAGTATATTATGTTTGAAATCCCTGTCATATAATTATTGACTAACAGCCTTATTAGTGCTATCCTGCAAGTGAACCCGGATGCTTACGCCATTGCCAAGTTGCTCGATGCTGAGCGTGACGAAGGCAAGGTCCGTGGTCCTCTCCATGGTATCCCATTCATTGTCAAGGACAACATCGCCACTAAGGACCGTTTGGAGACCACTGCCGGTAGCTGGGCTCTGCTCGGTAACGTCGTGCCCCGTGATTCTCACGTCGTCAACGGCATGCGCAAGGCCGGTGCTCTGCTTCTCGGCAAGGCCGCCCTGAGCGAGTGGGCCGACATGCGCTCTAACAACTACTCCGAAGGCTTCAGCGGCCGCGGCGGTCAGTGCCGCAGTGCTTACAACTTCACCGTGAACCCCGGTGGCAGCAGCACTGGCTCTGGTGTCGCCGTCGGCGCCAACCTGGTCCCCATTGCTCTGGGAACCGAGACCGATGGCTCTGTGATTAACCCCGCTCAGCGCAACTCCATTGTTGGTATTAAGCCCACTGTTGGTCTGACCTCCCGTGCCGGTGTCATCCCTGAGTCGACCCACCAGGACACCGTCGGAACCTTCGGTAAGACCGTCCGTGATGCCGTCTACGCCCTCGATGCCATCTACGGTATTGACCCCCGCGACAACTACACTTCCGCCCAGGAGGGTCTCACCCCCGTCGGTGGATACACCCAGTTCCTGTCCAACCAGACCGCTCTTAAGGGCGCTGTCTTCGGTATCCCTTGGGATTCCTTCTGGGCCCTCGGCGATGCCGACCAAATTGCCCGGCTCCTCGAGCTGGTCGAGCTGATCCAGTCCGCCGGCGCCACTGTCATCAACGGCACTGAGCTGCCTCACTACAAGGAGATTGTCTCGCCTGATGGCTGGAATTGGGACTACGGTACCACCCGCGGCTATTCCAACGAGTCCTCGTACTCCTACATCAAGGTTGACTTCTACAACAACCTGCGCACCTACCTTTCCGAGGTTGAGAACACCAACGTTCGCTCCGTCGAGGACCTTGTCCAGTACAACATCGATAACTACGGCTCCGAGGGTGGTCTGCCCGGTATCCACCCTGCCTTCGGCTCCGGCCAGGACGGTCTCCTTGCTTCCCTCGAGAGCAAGGGTGTCATGGACGAGACCTACTTCCAGGCTTTGGAGTTCTGCCAGCGCACTACCCGCGAGGAGGGTATCGATGCTGCCTTGAAGCACGGTAATGTTACTCTCGACGGTCTCCTTGTGCCCCCCGATGTTGCTCAAAGCGTTGAGATCGCCGCCCAGGCTGGATACCCTGTCATCACTCTGCCTGCTGGCGTCAGCGATGTCTCGGGCATGCCCTTTGGCCTTGCTCTCGTCAACACTGCTTTCTCTGAGGCTACCTTGATCAAGTACGCTAGTGCTATCGAGGACCTGAAGAAGAACCAAGGCGCCAAGTGGGACCGTCCACTTCCTCAGTGGCGTGGCTACCTGGAGCGTCCTCTGCCCGTCGCTTTCTAGAAGCCGTTGGAGTGGATTCTCTTTAGAGATGGTTATAGCTGATCATTTGTGCTTTTTATTGTATACCACACATCATTACATAGCCTACACATGTTTAATGAATAGAAATCTAGCGTTCATTCGGACATTTTCAATCCCCTTTCTTATCTTTTTTTCTTCTATGGCCTTTAGATGAAACGCGCCAATCACTAGTAATATTTATGCAATCTATATTACTCCACCAAATCTCCGAAATTATTTCAATCAAAAGAACCTCGAGTGGATCTGATTGCTGTGGTGGGTAACATTAGGCTCGTGGGCAGGTTCCGGATCTTCACATTTTTACGGAGTACAATTTAGACTACGACTATCATTGATGCAATAACAGTGCTTAAAGATCGACAGAGGAAAATCCCTGTGTTCGCCAAGACGGACAAATTCTCCAACCTCACCACTTGATCATCTTGCCGTAACACGAGAAATCAGAAAACCGAACACAGATCATGGACATTGGTGCAAAAAAAAAGGGAGAGAACCTCAGAATGAACCTCGGAGACCGTTCTCATCCGAGTAAAGAGTCCGACCACAAAGTTGACAAGCTTACTCCATACAGTTACCGATGTGGGGAACATCCCCCAAGTGAAACACCTTCAAGGACCGGACCCAATTCTTCAATGCCGGCCTGATTTACGACTGGGATTATTCAACTTTGACTCCTGAGGTTCCTTTGCATATTGAATTTGCACCACAGGGGACCTTGTGTACGAATATACGAATATACGAATATACGAATATACCCGCTATCCAACGGCCTCCTTATTGGTGTACTATCATCTCCCATAGCACAGGTCTACAATTTTTCCGCATGCTTCTCATCTACACTGTACCCCTGCAGAGCATAAGTGTTTATTTCTCCGCCAAATTGTGGATTATGCACAACCTTAATACATTGCCCGACTATTCAAGGCTGGTCCCACGTTTTATGCCAAGCCCCAGGCGCCTAGGGCTTCGGTCACTATTCGTCGGAACAACATCGGCTTACCACAACGGAGATTACCCGGGTGGAGAGACTTGGTTCTCAAACGTGCTTGTGTCTTAGCCCGGATTAGCTCGGAGAGCTATGTATATTGGACTGCTTGTTGATCCTATATAAGATCACGTCCATCGCGCCCAAAATGTCTCCCTCAGCTCTTCATCCCAAGGATTCCATTCTTTTAAACCGGTAGAACCTACCATCTCCCAACATGAAGATCACAGCTATCTTTGCAGCACTCGCTGTGCGAGCCGCTGCCGTCGGTGTCACCGGCGCCGCAGAGGGTTTCGCCAAGGGCGTCACTGGTGGTGGCTCTGCCACCCCTGTCTACCCCAGCACCACAGCCGAGCTGGTCTCGTACCTGGGTGACTCTTCCCCTCGCGTGATTGTTCTCTCCAAGACTTTCGACTTCACCGGCACTGAGGGAACTACCACCGGCACTGGCTGCGCTCCTTGGGGTACTGCCTCTGCTTGTCAGCTTGCCATCAACCAGAACAACTGGTGCAAAAACTACGAGCCGAATGCGCCCTCCGCCTCTGTCAAATAGTAAGCCACCTCCAACCACCCAAACTCTCTGTTTCAATCAATCCCTGAAGTCCATACTAACTGACCGCTCCCAGTGACAACGCCGGTACCCTCGGCATAACCGTCAAGTCCAACAAGTCCATCGTCGGCTCCGGCAGCGCCGGTGTCATCAAGGGCAAGGGTCTCCGTATCGTCAGCGGCGCGAACAACGTCATCATCCAGTAAGATATTGATAACACCCCCAAACCAAAACCCGAATCCCAAAACTGACGCATCTAACTAGGAACATCGCCATCACCGACATCAATCCCAAGTACGTCTGGGGCGGTGACGCCATCACCATCAACAACGCTGACATGGTCTGGATCGACCACGTCACCACTGCCCGTATCTCTCGCCAGCACATCGTGCTCGGCACCGAGGCCTCCAAGCGCGTCACTATCTCCAACAGCTACATCAACGGTGCCAGCGACTACTCCGCTACCTGTAACGGATACCACTACTGGGGCGTCTACCTCGATGGATCCAGCGATCTCGTTACCATGAAGGGTAACTACATCTACCACACCAGTGGACGTGCGCCCAAGGTTCAGGGCAACACCCTTCTGCACGCTGTAAGTTTTGATTGATCTACTTTTCTTTGGGATGGCACATCCTGTCTCGGGATTAAGTCTATGGAAATACGAATGATGCTAACGAATACATGCTAGGTCAACAACTACTGGTTCGACAACTCCGGCCACGCCTTCGAGATCGGCGCTGGCGGCTACGTTCTCGCTGAGGGTAACGTGTTCCAGAACATCGTTGCTGTTGTCGAGACTCCTATTGCTGGACAGCTGTTCTCCTCGCCCGATAGCAACACCAACGCTGTCTGCAGCTCTCACCTCGGCCGTTCCTGCCAGCTCAATGGATTCGGATCTTCCGGAACCTTCAGTGGCCGCGCTGATACTGGATTCTTGGCCAACTTTGCTGGAAAGAACATTGCTTCTGCTGCGGCTTACACTTCCGTTGTTGCCAGTGTTAATGCTAACGCCGGTCAGGGTAAGCTTTGAAGTGGAGTTGAGTGTCATATACTCCTGGGGAGGGGAGTTGTGAGGTGACAAAGGGGGATGGGAGAGGTAGCTGAGGATTGTTTGTGTGTAATTTAAACAATGAGATCTCTATGTGATCTACTAGCATTAATAAGAAATCATTTGATTTATCGAAAAGGGCAGTACGAGTAGAACTAATTCGAGTTGACAAGATGGACAACTTGTGCTCGAGTCATAGGGCTAATGATAGTGATGTGCATATGCAGTGATTTGCCAGAGGGGGCTGAGGATGCAGTTCAACTACTTGATGATGAAAAGACCAGGTCCGGCGACAGTTGCATTTGCCACACTGTATGCATTTGGGAATGGTCCCTCGGATGTGGTCACCGCAGCGATGGTCAACCCGTTCATTTGGTGTGCCTCATAGGGGAACAAAGCCTTTGCAGTAATTGTGTCATTCTCCTTCGAGATGACGTGGAGAGACTCCACAATCGGCCGATTCTGCTGATTGATGTAGGTGATCCACAGCGTGTCTCGATCAGTCTTGTCCTGGTCGTCGGCGGAAAAGGAAAACTTGATTCCTCTGGTCTCTGCAGTCGGTGGTATGATGACATTGAGAGGTGAAAAGGTTTTGAGCGGAATGGAGTTAATATTGGGGCAAGTGCCGGGCACGACGAAGCTCTGAATGGCAGTGAAGGCAAAGTTGAGATCACTAGTCGTCAAGAAGGGCAGTTCACTAGGGACCTTGCCCTGCATCACGCGGAACCATCCCTGCTGCTCCCCCTCCTGGCCGATAATTGAGGCAACCTCGCGTGTCAGCGCGAAATCACCACCGAGAGCGAATCTCTCCACGACGTCCTGCAGAGTCCCTAAAACCACGTCTGTGAAGGTGGTGGCGAGAACAAGGGCGGAATCGAAGTCATGGACGGGGAAGGTATATTGGCAAGGCTCAATTGGGTCAATACCAACATGAGCTAAGGCGTTGTTGGCGTCCAGGGCATGAAGCTCCTCTTGCTGCATCAAATTAGTAAATATCACCGAGTAACACGGGAATATCATGTCATACAGCCAGGATCACCTCCAAGCCATTCAAAACAAAGTCATAATCCTCTTCATCAGTGAAGCGATAGCCCAAGACTTTGTCGGTGATATTTGTGATCAATTGATGGAAAAAGGCAACTTCAAAGAGTTCGTTGAATGCGATGAGCTTGAGGTTGATGATCCCTCCTTCGCTGATACCAGGGGGAGGAGGACCGTTTGGCAAAGTGCCATGGGAATTCAGCTCAATTGTTTCCAGTTCACTGGGGCTTGGATTAGGCATCTCATCCGGGAGAGGGTGAATGGACACATTCGAAAACGGAGCGGCAAAGGCCAAGGAGGCCACGCCTAGAAGGACGGCAATGTGGAAACGCATATTGATGTTAAGAAAAGTACTTGGAATGAGAGACGCTGGTATCAATGTATGATAACAGAGTGGACTATGTATGAAAGAGTGGAAGATGAAGTTATGAAGTTGCGAAGTTGGGGGAAGTCGAGGGAAGCTAAGGCGAGTGGCAAGTACAGAAAAAAGGAAGGAGCTCATGGATTTAGATACTTCTATTTCCTTTTTGAACCTTCCCTTCTACATACTCTAATAGAGTGAATGTCTACTCTTCCGTTCTCCCTTTCCATGCCGGTCTACAAATAATTCTGTGGATGTCACTCATGAGGGCTGGTTTCTCTCTCCCTACTCCCAACTGGTGTTGTTTCTGCGTCAGACTCAGAACTCCGGAATCAACCAATTCGAAATGAAGTTAACGTATAGCATCCTTTTGGTAAGTAAAAACTTCGTCGAGGGTCATGAAAGAGCTACGCTCAACATATGATGACCATAGCTGACTAGAAAACATAGCTCAACATCCTCATATCGTTGCTCTTTCAATTCGAGACTCGGTTAATTAGCATGAGCCAAACCATTTCCGACCTATTGCGCTGCGTCATATGTTCGATGCATCCCAGGGAGAGTTCTCAACACCGGGGTATACGTATATTCTGACATTCGTACAGGGGGGCTGTCTGGACAGTTATATAATATCTCCCCCGAGTAGAAAGGAACATATAGACACACCTATGGGGTAAAGATAGTGACCGCGGACTAGGAGAGACTTAAGATAGTCTGCAACAACTCGGCAGACTTATTAAAAATAATGCCAGACAGCATGAACAAATCATCGAAACGTTGGATGAGCATTGCGGGAGATTTCGGCCGGGTGGAGCATATCACGACTGGATTGAAACTGGAACGAAGTTCGACTGGTTGATTCTAGAACATTGGACGTGATACTTTCCATCACCTCAAACGACATCCAGAAAGGCCCCCTAGAAAGGTTCTCAATATACCACCAATGTCGGATAGACCCCATTCTTAACACAACATACCAGGAGCGTAGGACCGCGGACAGCATTACCATGTACACCCTGCTCGTCTGTAGGAATCATAGAATAACCAAGAAGAGTATTACCAAATTAATTCATCAGTAGCAAGCAAATATATCATTGTCTAACGACAATCGGCACCAAAGCATGCCTATGGCTATCCTTTTCACAACGACACACAATCAAGCATGTTCCCTATACTCAGGCGACTCCTTCTCGGTAATTTGAATCTCCTTCTCGACCTGCTGAAGATCAACATGCGCCACCTGGGCATCATCACCATCGAAGATCTTAGCCAGCTCCTCGAGAGTGGGACCCCGGGTCTCGACGTAGAAGAAGTAGACGAAGCAGAGCTCAATAAAGATCCAAATCGTGTAGATCAGCGACAGGTTCCAGTGGTGAGGAAGGTTCTCCCACGCAATTGGGTTGGTATAGCTAGGATGGTTAGTTTGGTCTAAAGCGTGGGCATATATATTTAGCGCAACTTACTTTCCGAGAACCAGAGTTGCCTGTACCGTCAGGTTCATAATCATAATACCCTTGGCGCGTAGGCGATAGGGCAGGATCTCGAGCGCGTAGGCGACGAGTAGACCCGACCAGGCAATAGCATAGAACACAGAGAAGAGCCAGACAAAGACGACTTGTGGGTAACCGGTAGACGCGACATCCTGGGTTCTTTCGAAGACGGAGGAAACGACGGTCCATGCGAGGAACATGAGAACCATGCCTGGGAGGAGAAAGTTATTAACTTTGCAAATTTATCACGGAGATTCTAACACGTACCAATTGTGGAAATTAGGAAAAGAGGTCGTCGTCCAACTCTGTCAACGAAGAATGCACTTGAAACACTAACAACCAGACTCAGTAGGGTTTGTCCACCGTTGAGCTATGAAATGTCAGCAAGTGGTCATTTGACATAGGGCAAGGGGAAACAAACGGGAATCTTCTTGGTCTGTTCGGTGATACCCATGCTGTTGTAGATCAAATTGGTGTAGTTGCTGAACAAGGCATTGCCACTGTATTGGGAAATGATTCCCAGAGAAACCAAAAGTGCCAAACGATAACGATTACCCTTAGTCTTCATGAAGTCCAAATAGCTGCTGTTCTTCTGGAATTGCATCTCCAAGCTGATAGTTTCCTTAATCTCACGGTACTCGAACTGGACGGTGGCGTTGTTCTGATCGCCATTTCCGTGGTAGTAGGCGAGTGTGTCCAATGCTTCCTCGTACCGCTCCTTGGAGACGAGCCAACGGGGAGATTCCGGGACCCCTAATAATGATCAGCCACCTGGATGCAATCGAGTGAAAGAGGGGAAATGAAACTTACACCAGATGAAGGCGATCTGAATGACAGCGGGGAAGATTTGGAGGATGGTCAAACTACGCCATGACCAATCGTTGGGGATATACATCGTTCCCCATGCAATCCATGCGACAACTAGACCCAGTCAGCATACCAAGGTCCAAATTCTGGTCCGAAGGATACATACCTAGTGCGCCCAAATTCCACAAGCAGTTGTAAATAGTGGTGACTTTTCCGCGGTGTTGGGGGTGGCAGATTTCAGTGAGTAGGACTGGGGATGCCATCTGGGCTAGACTGTTTCCGAAACCAAGGAGCAATCGACCGGCGACATACACTAGATAGGATTAGTAAATCTAATGGTCCCAGTGTATAAAATGGGCAAGCTTACTTCCATAGTTCCTGCAGAATGCACCGAGCAAGCCACCGAGAATCATCAAGACACATCCGATCATGATAGGAACCTTGCGGCCCCATCGATCAGCGATGAAGGGCCTATTTGAGTCAGCGCGCTTCCATTGTATTTAGTGCAGGGGAACTTACACAAAGGGAAAACTGGCAAGACTACCAATCTGGTAAATTGCATTCATCAATCCCAGCTTGGCGCCATTGGGTGTGTCGAAGTACACCTGCCACGTATCCAAATTCTGGGAGGTGTTAAGCATCATTCTGCGCAATGTCCCGTCAGCTCTATACATATTCAATCGCATTGCTATAGTGCTTACCCATCGTATCCAGTAGTAGCAGAAGCAACACAAAGCACAGCAGCCCAGAAATAGAGCCTGCGCAGACCAGGCTCTTGCCACCAGTTAACCTTCTCCAACTCAGGCTTTGAAGCTTGAGTCGCGTCCAAATCGGACTGCAGAGTCGAAGCTCCGACAGCGATACCCATGTTGTCTGTATAGTCTGCTCAGATGAATGCTGTGTATGAAGTATCAAGGTAGAATGTCGAGATGTTGTGTCCACGAGCCTGTAACACAACCAAGGAGAGAAGTATGGAGATAGAGGGGCAACCCCCAGAGTTTTTAAGCAATTCAAATTTGCCATCATAGGATAATAAGCTGTGATATTAACCGGTGAATAAGAGCTGATGTCTTGGCTGATTTGCTCGGGTCGACAGCTCTCCCCGGTTTTCGCGATCGAAACACATTGGGAAAAATGGAAACAAAGAAATTCGAATATTTCCCAAGACGCTAGGACGGATTCCGTGCAGCGCCGGGACTAGGAATGCCCATTCATGAACGGACTAGCCGGATTCGTGGGATGTCAGACCAGCCTTGCCGTATAGGGGATGTTAGTAGGGCAAAAAAAAAAAAAAAAAAAAACGTTCTATCCCCGGGTTTTAGGGTTATGGTGTATCAGGCCCAGGCTAAACCCATAGCTTCTGAACTTTGGCGTAGAGATGCGATTGGCGCTGTCAAATAGGCTACAACAGCCGAGTCACAGGGTCTCAATTAGCCTGGCGTACTTGGGTACATAGCTGTGTGCCGCGGTTTTAGAATCCTTCCTTGGATACGAGACAAATGTTGGTCTTCCCCATAATCGTGTGGATTGGGCGGCCCGAGGCCCACAAATAAATAAATATGAACAAGGCAAAGCGTATACTATTGACATTCCTCCGTGCTCATTTGAGGTATGAGCTAGGTCAGCTGTGTTGACATTGGGTCTGTTTCTGCTCAAGGTTTTGGGTAATTCGTGTTGGGAGCTTTTCTGTATTCCAGACAGGTTCAGTCTCTGAATGGCATGCTCCGTGTCAGATTGAGTAATCACATTAGCCTGGACGCCACGGTGGAAGGCAAATGAAATAAGTGGTATATGAATGGTGATGCCAAGAAACCTGGGGGAAATTTGGGGGGAATTCTTCATTTGCGGGGGGACATGCACAGCACCAGGCTTCGGTGTTTAGCCGGAATTCGTATCTTGGCAACGCCACTTTATTAGGCGGTTAATGGTACGAGAATCTTGTTCAGATCCAAGCAAACGCCATATTCTTGAAGAAAAGGAAATGCGAATATCAAATAATGGGAGGTGTATACCCTAGTTCACCGCTTCCTTCTTTCCGTCTTATGCCGGGGATCGCCCCGAATCAAAGAGTGAAGGGGTAGCCTCTAATTGGTGCGATCCGAGTTACCGGCAGAATAGGGGACCCAGTCACGTAACGCCAACGCACCTTCTCCAAGTAAGTAACTGCCATCATTGCACGAGTCTATATCTCTCATCTTCTTAAAATGTGGGTTCATTCTGTAGTGCCACTGAGCACCCAAACACAATGCCAGCCAAGCCCAAATACAAGCTCTCACAAGAGCAAATCGATCACTTCATGAGATATGGCTACGTGCGTCTACCAGACTGTTTCTCGCGGGAGAAAGCAGCCGAATGGGCAGGCGACGTGTGGACTAGACTCGGTGTATCACCAACAGACAGGTCAACATGGACGACCGAAATTACCCACATGGGAGACAACAAGGAAGAGCCGGTTAGAGCTTTTGCACCCAAGGCATGGGCGGCCATCTGCGAGCTTCTCGGGGGTGAAGACCGCATAGCCCCGGAATCGGCCACTTGGAACGATGCCTTGATCGTCAATCTCGGCTCGCCGGAGTCCGAGGGCACATGGCCCCATCCTGCTGATCTGCCGGGGTGGCATGTGGATGGCGACTTCTTTACCCATTTTCTTGATTCGCCAGAGCAAGCCCTGCTCGTTATACCCCTATTTACCGATATCCAGGATCGTGCAGGTGGCACTATGATATGCCCTGAGGCGATGAAACATGTTGCCCAGCATCTGGTAGGTGGTCAAGCTTCTTATTCCACTTTTACGTCTTTCTGACTCGTGTGTTTCTAGTACAATCATCCTGAGGGTGTGACACCATATATGTATCCTCGTGGCCAAGAGCCTATTGGAGATCCAGGGGACACGCCCTTTTACTCGGATATTGTTAAGAATTGCAGCGACTTCCACCAGATGACCGGTCAGGTGGGCGATGTCGTTCTTCTCCATCCTTTGATGTGTCACTCGATTTCTGTCAACAGCCTGAGACACCCACGCGTCATCACCAACCCGCCAGTGTCCTTGAAACAACCGTTCAACTTTGACCAGGACGATCCCTCCAAATACAGTCTCGTTGAGAAGAAGACGCTAGCGATGCTTGGTAAAGACAGACTGTCTGGCTGGAAAATCAAGGGGAAGCGAGAGTTCGTTGTGCCAAAGAGGCTAAAGGATAAAAGCGGATCGAGTGAGCTAGAAAGACTAGCGAACATCACGGGACAACCTATTTCAGCCTGATTACCACGACCTTGACCTTAGCCGAGACAATGACTTTTATTCTTATGTGAGATTAGCATTTAGCATGGAATTCGAGTTATTCTTACCAGAGTTCAATCCATGCGTTCGCTTCTTGCCCTTACATTGCCTGTCATGACGCCGTACTCGATCAAGCTAGCTGTCTGTGCTAATTTGGGATGGTCGGTTTGCGACAAATGTAGTAATTACCAATGCGTTTTAATTCTGTCACGTTCAATATTCACATTCAATTTTTTCGCCATAGGAAACCGGACGAAACTCCGCCGAGGATAGCCACGCCCGTGATGAGATCCCATACTCCTTGAAAGGCCGCGACTGAAACAACTGTAACTGCTTCTCTCTGTTTATTTGTCATGCTCACGTCCTTCATAAGAATAAGATATCCGTTGGCAGAGTTTACTATATCCCGATCCAGCTCAACACTTGCAAGTCCATTGCCGAAGCAGTTCAACAACACAACACCCCCGACAGGGACCGCGACTGCCATACCCCAAGCTCGCATGTAGTATGACATAGTTGTTGGCAGAGTTGACATGGATCCATCCCCGTCTTTGGGCAGATTCTGGATGCGGACATTGTAACTGGAAAGCAACAGACCATGTCCAAGGCCTGCTGTGAACAACAGAAATACCCACGCCACGGTCGGCGTGGAGTTATCCAAGAGAATAGAGCATCCACTTGTCAGGGCAGTCAATACCCAACCGCCAGAGATGATCCACTGGGTACATCTTAACTCCTTCGCAAAAATTACACCAACCACCGTAGCCGGCGCAATCGCAAGCCCAACCATGGCTAGCAAGGTGATTCCAGACAAAGTGACGGACATATAATGAGTGGAAATAAAGTACAGTGGGAAGAATTGCAAGTGAGCAAAGACCTAGACGGGTATGTTAGAAACCATGAAGGAGATGCAAAGAAAATGGTGACTAACCACAAAGCCATGTAAAAAGCACCCTAGGTGTGTCATAGCCATCATCCTCGAGCGAAATACCCTCCTCCCAAACTGTGGATACACAGCCCACTTGGTCTCATAGAAGAGAAGTGCAAGAAGGACCACAGCGCCCACCGCAAGAGGCACAATCGTCTGCCAGTTGCCCCAATGATACGAGCTTCCACCGTAAGAAAGACCAACCAGAATAGCCCCAAGCCCCAAAAAGGCCAAAGTATTACCTGTCCAATCTAAACCGCGCAATTTGGACATCGGGATATATTTCAATGCGCGAAGATCCACAGCGAACGGAATAGCCAGCAAACCAAGAGCACAGAAAATGAGGTTGAAATAAAACACCCACCTCCAGTCCGCGTTATCCACAAACAAACCTCCGATAACGGGTCCCAGGATGCCGCCACACATGCGCGTCAACAGGATATAGCACGAATATCGTGAGTGCATGGATTCAGACGCTGTCTCGGTCATTACCAGGAAGCACAGACTCATTGCGCCGCCGCCGCCGATACCCTGGATCATGCGGCCGATTATCAGCTCTGCTAGACTCATCGAGCCGCAGCAGATTCCTGTGCCGATTGTTGCGAGGACCACAGCGATGATCCATACGGGTCCGTGGTTGAAGACTTCGCTCATCATTGTGAAGTAGAGGTGGCTGGTTGCGCCGAAAAGGAGGTATACCGTGTTGACCCACATTGTGCTTGCTAGTGGCTTTGCGAATGCGTTTGCCAGGTCCTAGATTGAGTTTCTGGTCAGTTCTAGTGTAGATATCAAATCACGCTCGAGGGTATTTCATGTGGCATACAGGTAAGGCTGGGATTAAAATGGTCGCATTGAACGAATCCATCATTGCTAGAATAACGATACAGATAATGATCAGCCATTCTCGCACTTCGATTCGTCTTTTTTGTTCCTCGGTTGAAGGGTCGCTCTCGAATAGTTGAATTGAGCTCCCCAGCGCTGGGTTGTGTGTCATCCCGTCCACGCTTCGGACACTGTCCGGTACACCGAAGTTGATTTTGGACTCATCATCGTAAATTTCTTCGGTAATTGAATGGCGTCCCATTTGTGCTGAATCTGGCCGTCGAAAGGCCCTTCGAGCTATATATACTAGTCGTTAAGTTGTCGTTCGTCACGACAATCGGGGTGCTGTGGTATCTGAGGTCGATCGCGGCATCGATCGAAACTGAACAGTGATTCCCGGAAGAAATTTCATAGCTAGAATTGCAAGGTTACCCACACTAATGTGGGATGGAAGAGATGTGTAATAGGGGCTCCCCCCTCCCCTCCTTCGTCGTCGGGAAACCTGGAAAGAGACGTTTAGGTGAATTCCACAAAAGAAGGGATACATAGTAAGTGCATTGCTATTGGCCTGGAGTTTGATATTTTCTTATTTAAACCTTCTATCGCGGGGAATATTAGCCCCAAATCGCTGGGAATGATGGGTTAAAGGGTGCCAGGGTCTTAGCACAGTTAACATTCCAGTCTCATCCCTTGTTGGATGTCGTGATGTAGGTGCATCGAGCATTCCGTGCATGATGTAAGGGGGCTTTCTCGTGAACTTGACGTAGCCTATCTTGTGGTAGTATCCTCAAGTTGTATCGCAGATTTTACATATAAAAGTGTTGCTAAATGGATGAAAGTGCATATATAAGATACATATTCTCGGAGAAACGCCAGGCCATACCTTTGACTTTGAAATTCTTTTGTTAGAACTAAGGAGAGACTTCTAAAAGCACCTAATAGTTCAATTATAATTCCCAAATCTCAATAGTAATTAATAGGCAGCGAAGTGAAGCCTCTTCGAACGTCTTCCTAGCGTCACATGCCTAGCCGTGGAGATGCCCCCGGCTTATCTTGCGTTGGCCTCGTGTTGGCTACTCGCCGCCGCTGGGGACACCCCCGCTATTTCAAAGGGAGGCATGCCCCTATTTTTACAAGCTCAAATCAGATTCCAAATATTTCGTCAGGAGTTTGATTTCTTCTTGTGGATAGTCTCCCTGGGAGACATCTGGCCTAGTCTCCTGAAATGGGAATCAGGAGATTGTGGAACTTGCAGGTGAACGGCCGTAAAATGCGTGATAATATATCTTGATATGCTTATGGATGGTTTTAATTAGGCCGTTGGTATCGTCTCTGTTATCTACAGATTCGAGTGAGCCCACCAGAAGTAGCCGAGACAGTGCGCAGAGTGAAGAAGATACATGACAAGACTATCGATCTGCGGCATGAGTTTTGGCCAGCGGAGGCTGGTTGACGTAGAATTTGTGGATGATGCTTTGGCGGAGGGAATCGCTGGCCATTGGTGATAGGATTGGTCTTTACAGGGCTTTTGCTCTGTGACCTTCGTTTACCTTTCCTATAATGCTTTCCCTTGCTACAATGCTGCGCCCTGCTAAGGGACTCTTCCGAATGACGCCTACCATCTACCCTCTACGAGCCGAAAGCTGGAATATGGACACAGATACGACAGTGCTCCACGCGTCGCTAAGTTCCTCCGCAACTTTCTGCCATTTAGGATAGGTCTGAAACCCGAAAATAAGCAGATGCGACTACCTCCTTCTAATACTTCTTAGGCAAAACATATCCGCCAATACTAACAAAGAACTGCATAGCCTGACCCATAAACTCCGTGAGATCCGCCCCTAACCACGAAGGCAAGAGCCTTGCCCTAGGCTCCTCAAGCTCGCGAAGATACTTACCAGCAACCTACACAAAAGAAAAGAGAGTTAGCACCATACGGGGTCACCCCCTTGCAATAGATATACTCACTAAAACACAATTCCCCTCCCGCTCTTCATCTAATGCCACAACCGCAATAGCCTCCGCAACTCGATCAGGAGTATTTTTCTCAAGACCAGCCTCATCCCACTTGTGCGCAAAGCCCGCCGTGATATGAGTCGGTGTCAGAAACGGTGCGACAGCATTAACCCGGACACCGTGTGAGCGCGCAACATCCTGACACGCCCGTAGGAGACCTAGCACGCCGTGCTTCGACGCGATATAGGCGGCTACACCTGTGCCGCCGAAATAACTCGATGTGGATGCAACTAGTAAGATTGACTTTGTCGGTTGAGGGTCTGTAGTGGTTGACGTGGAGGATCTCGTATAGTGTAACCCTAGGCGGAGAGCTGTTTTGTATAAATGGATAGGCAAGTTGTCAGTATACTAGCCAGCTGAAATTGGCATTTAACGTGAGATTGAATATTGAAGATAATGGGAAAATTCACTGTTCAATGTTCCTTTTAAATTAACATCAATAACTCTCCCCGCCTCCTGACTCTCGAGAAGACGTCCGTTCGCATCCACGTTGTTCATGTCTAGGGCGGACTCGGACTCCATAATGCCCGCGTTGGCTATAACGATATCGACTTTGCCGAAGGCGGTGATCGCCTCTTCGAAGCATGCTGTTAGCTCTGCCCAGTTGACAATGTTGGTAGATACAAATATCGAGCTGTTTGGGAATTTCATCTGTTTCTGGATGACTTCCTCGGCGCTGTTTCGCAATTGGGGGAGGTCGGCGAGAACGACATTGGCACCGTGGGAGTTGAATAGGACCGCGGTTGCAGCTCCGATCCCGCGCGCAGCACCGGTTATCAAGACTGTTTTACCGGCAGATTGGGAGAAGAGAGCTTGGCCGACTTTGACTTCGGTCATTATGGTTTGTTTAGACCGAAGATATGCGAATGGAGAGGAAGGAGGATGGCTGATGGTTGGTTGCTAAAGTCTGGTTATGCAGATGGACTAATTGCGGAAAACTATATTGCGGGGTATTGTTGATTGCGAGATCTACCGCAGTAATTTGTACAACTCACCTTATGCATTGATGAAGGCAATGATAGAATGACGCCAGTCATCTCATTATGTACAAGCCACGCCAAAATATGTACGGAAAGACTAGCAACCGCCAACAGACCAAAGGGAAAGACAATAAATCAATCGTTCTTGTGCCGATCACCACGTTGCGATGATGCATACTCGCTTAGATCCGCCCTTGATCCTGCCCGAGAGGGCATTCGCGACTCGGCCATTGACTCTCCTGTGCTTACAGCGTGGAAAGAGAAGTCTAATTCGCCGACTAATCCTTTGACAAGCCTAGGATCAACAGCCCAATTAGCAAACCTGGCTAGGTCTAACAACAAACTTTCTATTAGAAACCTACCGAAGTAATCTGTCCATATCACCGACAATGCAGCGGGTCGAGATTTGCAGAACTGCAAATGCCGCGAATCCCGGCTCGGCAATGTGTCGGAGACTAAGAAGGTCACTGTCAAGATCCATAAGGCGCTTTGTGAAGCTGTACGGACGGGGTGCTTTGAGATATGGCGGTAGAGGTTGTCGGTTCGTAATACTAGCAGAGAGAAGGCAGAGCAAAGATGTGACCTCGTGAGTCGTCACTTTGGCAGTATTGATCAGCCGCCGGAAATCGGTCATCCAGGCGGTATCTGTAGGATCTTCGCTGTCGCCGAGATTCATGAGTGTATCGGATGCATACCCTAGCAAGCTGAGGTAGTTCACGATGCTAAAGGATAAGCACTGTTAGTACCAGCAAAGGATGTGGGAGGGCATGGCATACTTTTCTACACAGATAATAATCGAATCATACTGCTTCTTAGGGAATCGACCGCCAACCGGAACCTCCCAGCGAAGGAACCCCGAGTATGTCCGTAGACCGGCTAGCATAAGCATCTGCTTTGAGAACACTTTGTGTCGTGCTTTCTCAAGTTTACGACCGGAAGAGGTCTTGAGTAGGTATTCACCCTCGTCCCCACGCATACGACCGGAGATCGTCTCGTGGATGATGGAGTAGTAGTTTGCCAGGAGATACAACGATGCACCTAGACTTTGACGGAGGACTGAATGCTCAGAAATTGGATATGGGAAGAATGTCCAAATAAATGCGACAGCTATACCGCCCGCCACAACAGCCAAGCGATAAGGCGCCAGGAGGTAAATAGGGTAGAAGGGCTGTCCATTGGATGTCGCGACAGCCTCGCCGACTCGGCGAACTTGGAGTTCATATCCAATGATCATGCTTGTAGTGATGATGCTGATGATCCCGACTGCTCGGAAGCGGAACATCTTGATGGGGATGTAGAAGGCCATGGACACAAATATGAACAGGAAAACGATGATACCCGGTGTCTGTTTACCTGGAATATACCAGATCAAAAGACTTGCTACCATTGCAAGGAATGTACCCAAAATCCGCAACACGAAACTGAAAATGCTCTGTCCTGAGGTGGGTGACATGCTGAGATTGATCATGATCAAGGCCCACACTAACCTTTGGGCAGTAAAGAAGGTCTGAGTATCGCGTAGGAACCCGATTACTGCAACAGTCATGGTGGCACAGGCAACACGGAAACCGTATGTCGACTCAAATGAGCGAAGGAATCCCGGGATGACACGAATTCTGTCTCCAATCCTTTCAAAGAGAGTAGTCGGTGGTAAGTGCTCTGGGTCTTTCCGCAGTTTATACGCCTCGCCAAGCTGCAGTATGTTGTTTTGTGTATGAATGTCACCCATATTATCATCTTCATGATCCTGAGCAGTCAAAAAGGACTTGGCCCACTTCCAAACTCGCTTACCACCGGGAATGATGAGTCGAGTCTTCGATAGCTTCCCTTTCGCCTCAACATGATTGGCATAGCGGACAAAGTCGAGCACGGTTTGACCGGTCGAGTACAGCAATTGCTCCATCTGAGTTTACGTTAGCTTTCATCATGTTGACTGACTGGTAGACAGAGGCTTACATAGAGAAATAGATACAGCTGTCGTCGGCTTCGCTCTTTTTGCGTAGCCGAGGTATCCAAAAAATCGGTGTCCAACATTTTAGCTGAAGCAGGGTGATCGAAAAAGTCGGGAGGGAGCGTGACACCCTTCTCCTCAGCCCATGTTTGCAAAGCAAGGCGTTTCGCACTTCGAAATTCGCCAAGTTTCTTTTCAAAATGCTGGGTAAATGCTTTCTCTCCGGGAGCAGTGCCCTCGGCTGTGGCCTCGACATCTTCGCCTCCCTCCGTTGAATTCTCATTTGAAGATTTCGCTGTCGTTTTACGTTTGGGTGGCTTTGTTAGCCCGAAAATATATGACGTATGTAGCAATCCCTCATCAATAGTTTGGATCATTACTGCGAAAGGATCGTGAACCGCCCTCATGATATCATTCCACTCGTGCACAACGCGTTGTCGGATATCCTCTGGGACTACAGGCTCATTTAGGTCAATGGGCTGATTCCATCTGTTATAGTCTGACAGTCGCTGAAAGATATCCACCACGAAGCTCAACCCCACAACCGGGATCATAATCTGGCGAAGATGACGGAAGATGGCCTGAAGATCATCAGGTCCTAATTTTCCCAATGCAACCTCACGCTTCGCAAATGTGAGATCACCATGAAGTTTGGCGTGGAGATCTGTGATCTGTCGCACCGCACCGCGGATGGCTTCTGCCTCGGGACTGTAGATCTTTCCATTCTTGCCAAACTTCTCACGGGCGTCATCATATGTCTCCGTGCGACCAAACATATCGTCTCTTTCCAATGATTGGAAGTATAGAGCATGGGCATTCAAAGCCGAGCGAAGCCCGCCAATGTAGCCTGCCATTTGTTTGAAGACGACCTGACGTGACGTCATCGGCAGGATGAATAGTGATGTTGCTGTTGAAATGCCGAGGCCAGTAAGGCATGATTTAAGCAATTGGCTCACCATGGCAAAAGCAGCTGTCATGTTCTTCATTTGCGGGGCGTATATTGAAGAAATGTTCGCGAAGATTGCGTAAATAATAACGGGGAATTGCAGCTGCGGGTATTTGGCGCGGAAGGTGTGAACCATCCAGATTTGAATGAACAGCCACAAACCACTGACAGCAGATGCGGATGAATTGTATGCATCAGTGGGGCTATTTGAGGTGTGTTGACGTGCCCTGACACTGCAGAACATTGTCAACAGAGCCAAACATGCTGCTATGCAGACAGCCAAAACGTCAAAGATCATCATCTGGATAAACTTTGCGCGGGGCATGATCGCAAAGCCCAGGATAGAGACGATGGCCACGAGATAGCCTAAGGTTGTGTACTCGTTGGCAACAGGCTTGGATTGGTAGCTAGACTAAGGGTCAGGGTTTTTCTGATAAACCGAGAACTTCGAAGGTTGATAACTCACATAGAAACAGCTATTGTGGGTGGGATACCGCCTCTATAGTAGCTGTTAGAGGTTTCCTACTATGGAACATTGGAAGCTTGATCCTGAACTCACTTCATCATCAAGAGGATGGTGGGTCTGTCCAAGCCCGTTTTCTGCCATGTCTTTTTAACAAAACCGAAGAGTGAAGCTTTCTCCTTGTTAGGGTCATCTTGCGCATCTGGCGATGGCGACGACCCGAAGGATGAGCCCGACTGATGGGATCGAACATGCGCCATATTCACACAGGGGTCACACAGTGATGTGCCTCGGCCCAGCCACAAAAGATCCAATTCTTCAGAAACGCGGCATGGTCCACGTGACCTTCAAATGAGGGGGATCTGCAACGCGGGCAAGAACGCGATAGATCTAGACAAGCCTCCAGAGCTGGTGGAGTAATTTGAAAGAACAAAGAAGTCGGATTAAAGTCCCCATCACGTCGTAGATGTTTGCAGTTCACCCCACCCTCGAGTGATTGGCTACCACATGTGGGGAGGAATGCTCTCCGCATATAAAATTTGGATGTTGATGCCTGACTTGTGAGGCCAAATATCAGGATTCTTCACGATATAATTCTTTCGTTTGATAGACTCAATAATTCATTTGCTATATTTATTGGCTTTTTGGTGATTTGAACAATGGGGCTATTAGATAGGACTGGCTAGGATTATGCCCATCGGTTCGATCAGTCTGCCATTTGATAGTCATATCGACGGCTGCCTTTTTTGTTTCCTATAGATAGTCTATAGATGGTCGTAGAAAGGAGTCTTGCAAGGTCTACTGGGTGGGTAGGAGGGATAAAAGTCGCTGCCTTGCGCTTACCGAGCTCCGCCAAAATGGGCGTAAACATTGAATGGCCTAAATAGTTATTGCCATCACAGTATCTCGTGAACAGCGTGGCACCGTTGGCTTTCAAAATAACCATAGCATACTGTATCTCATTCAATATGTCCTTTATATCCATCAGGGAGGGCAAAGGCGCGAAAAGTCCAAACTTGTCAGGATGTCTATCACGCAGGCCCGCAGCATATTCATTAGCCTTGCAGGCCAGATGTCGACCTTCCTGGTCAGTTGGGGGAATTGTTGCACCTGGGGCAGTCAAATAAATAATAGCTTTCTGTATCCCATTTTATTTCATGTTCTCTAAAGATAGCTGTGGGCTAACTGGACGGATCGCCGCTAGCTCTTCCAGGGCTACTCTTTTGTTAGTTGTCCAGCAGGATAGCCAAACTGGTATCATTACCACTTTCCTTTAATATAGAATTCAGTTACGAAATGGTGATGGGTATCTATCTTAGGTGGCTTGTAGGTCAGGGCGGTTGTTGGTTTTGCAAAAACCACGAACTCCAGAGGATATAAGGAATGAAAAAATAGAGAACAGGAAGAATGTGCGAAAACTAAAAGCAGGCTCAGCAGGCTGAAGAATAAATTCATGGCTGCACTCATGAATGGGATGGGTTCAGGATGGAAGCAAGGACTGGCTGATTCAAACTGCACTTATATATAATCCTTTAGATAGCTACCCAGTGAATACATAACTACAACTACATCCTACTGAGCCTAGTTGCGGAAATTCTTTTCCCGTAAAGGATCAATATACGTATCATGTAAATGCATTCCATGGGCTTCAATTGAAGCTTGCTGTGGGAGATGAATCCAAGTTTCGAAAACTACCGTATATTGATCATAGTCTGAGGTTATTATGCTCTATTGAGAGCTAACCACCTATTTGCCTCTCGCCCAGCGTGTTAGCCGAAATATATGTAACAAAGGGATACTAATTACCAGCTTCTCCAGCTTCTCCGCAAATCCCGGGGCTACTTCCGCCATCTCCCCGGAATTATTTGAGTGGAGATCGGACAGCTCAGAACCAAGACCGCTCATAGGGGTTAGACAGGCAGGATTTTAGGAGAGAAAAAAGACATACCTGATTGTCAATGAAGTTTCGGTCGGCAGGTCTACTCACGGATACTAGATACTCGAACTCTTGCTAAAGCTGACAAGCTGTAAACTGTGTTATGTTATCTTACGTCACACCTTGTACAATCCTACCCGCAATGCTGTAATTAGTCTAAGAATAATAATTTCGTGTCGAATACCGTAGGGAGAAGGGGCCAAAATCATACTTTGGTGTAATCCCGGTCATCGTTCCCCTCTGCACTATATAACTTCATTGAACAAAGAATCAGAATCATAAATAGAAGTCCACCAAACCCCATGAAATTGAAAGAGACTTCTATAGAATATCCATCTGTGCTCCTGCCAAGAGTTTGGAGGAACAGGCTGCTAGTTACCTAAAATAATTCCGTTCCGGAATCTTTGGAGGAAAAGAATTGCGTCTTTCTGGATAAGGGAATATAAATAAAACTGGATATATTTGTTGCACGGCTTCAGATCCTCGTAACTTTTTAGAAGTTTCTCTTCTAGAGTGAAAGTGGCAACTAAGTAGATATTGAAGAGGGGAACGCTTAAGGCTATATGCTCTGGAGCATACGGGTCGATTTAGCACTCGTAGTTCAGGTTTATACCCGACTTTATATACAAGGGAACCTAGGGGTACTAATCTAGATATAGATTTAGAGAGGTATAGGAGTATATATTCTCAATCTATATCTACCTACTACTTATAACCTTATAATCTCAATGCTTATATAACAACACTTCGAAATAAAAGAAAGAGAAGAGGTAAGGGCAAATACGTAGTGGGAGCAATATACACTAAAAGTCCTAAACCACTTAATAAAATGGAATCAAGATATAAACTACCTATGAATAGTTGAAAAACACTCAAAGTTGTCCCGTATAAAGTGTGATCTATACCGAATGAATTGCGGGGTGTATCCTTCCTTTTAGGGTTATATTGCTTCCTCCGATCTTCCGATTTTTCGTACATTGTAAACTCGACAGTGCCCCGAGGTCTGCACTATAGTTTTCTTAAGAGATTCTAACATAATATTACGGCGAGGTATGGAAATAGTTAAATAATTGACAATGTCCAAAATGAGTGCTGTTCCGTTCCTGTCCTTCCCAATAAACAGACAGCAACAACCCGACAATTCCATCGAAACGCTCCATTCACTCCGGTTATTTCAGATACTCCGATTTAGTTCTTTAGTCTTGCTTCTGATACTCCGCGGCATTTTGATGAGCGTAATTACATGGATCGTTCAAGTACAAAATGTCTTCACGGGAACATGATATAAACAGCGAGGGAATTCCCCAACTTTGACCTGAAATGGACAACCAGAACCACCGACTTTGCTGAAAAGCAAGAAAGAGAAGACCTGACAATGACTTGTAATGCAATCTTCAAGTGCAAGGCCATCGCCATGATGGCATTCCTCTTCACGGGATTAGCTGTGGGGGCTCCAATGGATACTCATGAAAATGCCACTTCTCATGATCTCAGCAAGTAAGTAAACTAATGCAAACTTGTGTGTTATTTTTATTCCTGCCTGTCCCTAGATTCACGCTCCATCGAGGCTCATGCTAACTCTGCCCCCAGCCCCAGCCAATGGAACAATACACATAGCCCCCGCGCAGAACACACCCTTGGCGGCGATCTAACCTGGTATGACACCGGGGTTGGAGCATGCGGCTGGTGGAATAACGCGTGGGACTACGTGTGTGCCGTGTCTCATTTTGTTTATGACCGTGCGAATGTAGACGGCAACCCCAACCACAATCCACTTTGTGGCCGGTTGATCCACATCAAACGGGGCGACAGGGGTATAGATGTCACTCTGGTGGATCGTTGCGAGGGATGTGGGGAGTTTGACATCGACGTTAGCCGTGGCGCTTTTGAGGCACTCGGTAACCTCGATGAGGGCCGGGTACACACTGAGTGGTGGTGGATATAGATAAAGTCATGATTTAGAAGCCACAACTCATAGTGTCATTGACTGTGATGTGGGCACTGGAGGCTGGTTGGTGGGTAAAAACAGGAAAACGAAAGGATATAGTTCGGATAGTGATTTCATGTGAGCGACATGATTCATTTAGTATTCGGGCCACGAGGGATCCACTTGTTCTTTCCATGATCGTAGTCCCCCGCGAATGTCACCAATGAATCTCTTTCCATGCTGATCTAGTCCCAACTCTTTCATTTTCTTGACGACAATCTGAGAGTCGTTTCCTAGGCGGCAGACGACGTAGATTGGGTTCGTAGACTCAGACGAGGCAACCTCGGACGGTAACCAAGAAGGGAATTGTTCAGCTTGCCCGTTACCATCCCCCTGTAACCCAGCAGTATAACCCGAGGAAAGGATATTTGAGATAGGAATGTTAATACTATTCTCCAGACTGCAGATCCCAAATTGAGCTTCGTCTCGGACGTCAATTATCGTATGGAGCTGTGACGAATCCGAGGTGACATTTGGGTGTCTCTCGTTGTATTCTCGAGCAGAGATACGTTCCTCGGGACCAAGTAAGGAGGGCAAATTTGTGGATCCACAAAAGAACACATAGTCCATTGACCCTGATTTTATTGTATCCAGTGTCACAGTTGCCTCAGCAGAGCAGACGGCACAATTGGCCCGGCGCGAACGCAGACGGATTGTGCGGACTAGAGGCGATGAGTAGGCGGAGAAGATATGCAAAGACGGGGGATCCTGTGCACGACATCTGTTAATATCAGGGGTAGTGATGACCTTGATTGCCTCTAGGGCTTGCAAGACACCCATTGTCCCAACAACCGGCCCCAGGATACCCCCATCCGCACAACTGACCACACTATCAGCCGGTGGTGGTTTAGGGAACACACACCGATAGCACGGTCCTCCAGTCTTGTCGCCCGGCGCACGGGGCGGGTTGTTCAACACCATCAGCTGTCCCTCGGTGCGCAGGGCGGACGCAGAGACCAATGGTTTTCCAAGAAGCACTGCAGTGTCAGAGATTAGATAACGGGTCGCCGGGTTATCAGTGCAGTCGAGAATAAGATCATAGTCCTGGAAGACCGCTGGTGCTGCCTCAGGCGTGAGGTGTGTTCGATGGGCAATATACGTGGGATGCGGATTCAGTCTGCAAGAAATCGTCAGCGCGTCGCTCAACATTCCTACACAGATCCACTTACTCTTTCAAGGACTCAATTGCGCTGTCAACCTTGTACTTCCCCACATTCTTCGTCCGGTGTAGGACCTGACGATGGAGGTTCGATACCTCGACTGTATCCCCATCGATGAGCCCGATAGTTCCAACGCCAGCACCAGCGAGATACTGCGCAGCGGGACATCCCAGTCCTCCGGCTCCAACGAGCAAAACTCTAGCCGATCGGAGTTTCAGTTGACCTGTAAATTCATTGAAATCGCGATTAGTCACACTGTTCAAGGCGAGAAATTCCCATATCTCTGCCAAAACGAAGCCATGGCCAACCTTTCAAACCAACTTGCGAAACAATCATTTGCCGTCCATATCGTTTGTATTCCTCCTGGAGCAAAGGCCACCGCCTTCCTTCGCCATTCTGGTCCTCGTGCCGGATTTCCGCAGTCGGTGCGGTCTCCGATTGCGCCGCTTGTTCGGCGTTTGCAAGGTCGCGTTTCAGCCCAGCAAGTTGTGTTTCCGTCGCGATGATCTGGGCGCGCAAAGAAGCGCATGTTTCGTCGAGAGATCCCATCGAGATTGTTCGCGTCAACGCATGTGGCAAAAAGAAAGTGACGCGGGAGTGGGAATTCTCGAAGTTCCCCGCGGTATCTATTGTGGGGCTCGGTGATGAGGTATGCTGGGTAGAGGCATACGAGTTTTGTACTCCACCGTTAAAACCCCCGTCAAATGTTCATATATGTTGTTTATACTGATCTATGGATATATAATGTAGTATTCTTGGATCCATGTATGACTTAATATAGGGGATCAATAACTCTATTATCCATTTACTCCTTGTGCTCTGGAGTCTCTGTAGTCTTCGCAGTCTCTGTCGTGTCTGCATGCTCTTCATGCATAATTTGAGTCTTTTGCAAGGTGTGTTCCACATCAGCGCGTCTCTGCTGCTCATCAACAGCACCGAAAATGAGATCCATCTCCTCCAGGGTCCGGCCTTTGGTTTCTTTGAAAAATACGATGACGAAGGTACCCATGGCAAAGCAAAAGATGCCAAACATGAGGAAGGTTTTCCAGCCAATCTTATTGATAGCACGAGGGGTAACCTCAGTGATGACGAAGTTGAACAGCCATTGTGTGGCGGCACCGAAACCGACACCGTAGGCGCGAAGACGAGTTGGGAAGATCTGTCGGAATAAACAATGTTGGTCGGCTGCAATGGGTAAGAATATAGAGTGAACAACTCACCTCGCCAAGATAGACCCAAGGAACTGGTCCCCAGGACGCGGAGTATCCGATGACATATAGATAAATCATCGCAACCATGGCGGTGGACGCCGATGAGACGGATGTGGCTTTTGTATCGGGGGGATTGGTAGCCAAGACTGCTCCAATGATGAACATCATACTAGCCATCCAGGCGGCACCACCAATCAAACTCTTCTTCCGGCCCCAGCGATCGATACCGACGACCAGGAAAATCGCAGTTGCAACCACCTTGACTGTTCCGTAGATACCAGTAGCAAACAAGGAGGAGTCCGTTTTGCTCAATCCGACCTGAAATTGTGGAAAAGGTTAGATTGATGCCAATCCAGAAAATGGGAGAAGATGTTGTGGTATATAGATACTGCGGTGTACTTACACTTGCAAAGATCTGAGGAGCATAATATCCTATGCTGTTTGTTCCGGAAAACTGCTGCCAGAACATCAGGACGAATGCTAGGAAGAAGCGGTATCGGTTGCTTGGCTTCAGGCATTCTCTCCACGTCAGACCCTCGGTAGCCTGCGACTCTTCGTGAATAGCAGCTGATATTTCAGCAAACTCGAGTTGAACAGCCTCGCTGTTTTCAGACTCGTTACGAATGTAAGCGAGGGAATTGAGTGCGTCGTCTTGGCGGCCTTTCGTCAGCAACCAGCGAGGAGACTCTTTCAGGAAGAATAATCCAATGAGCATTAAGCCACCCGGAATAAGCTGGATGGCAACTGGGATACGCCATTGGCTTGTGCCTTCAGGAACATGAAGCGAGACGCCATAGTTCAGCCAGTAGGCGAAGGTACTACCAATCACCAGGAACTCCTGGAAGAGACCGGCAACACGGCCACGGGTTGCCGGAGGGCAGTTCTCACTGACAAACACAGGGGTGATGCTGGACATACCACCGATACCGAAACCGGCGATGACACGTCCACCATAGATCACGCCGATCTCATGGTGAGCTCCAACTTGGACGGCTGCTCCTACTAGGAAGATCACAGCGAAAATCATCAGCGAGTATCTCCGGCCCAGTCTGTCGTTCATGTACGCAGCGAAGATGGATCCGAAAAAACATCCTGCTGTGAGTAGCGACACCACATTGGAGGAGATCTGAGCGTTCTTCTCGTCGCTGAATCCGGATGACTCTACGGGGAGGCCGAAGTCTTTTTTGAAACTTGAGAGGGCCAGGACTGACCCCATGACACCCGTGTCATAACCTAGGGAAGGTGTGTGAGTAACATTCTGTGATTGGATTGACCAAATCCGCTAACCAAAGAGCAAGGAGCCCAGATAGGCCACCGAGGTCAGGATGTAGACCCGATAGTTCTTGAAATTGACGAAACCCATCTTCGAGTAGGTTGGATAATATCCTCAGACAATCTATCGCCGGAATAAAGATTGACTTCGGGATGAGTCTTTCGTAACACAAAAGGAAGAAAGAAAAAGGAAAAGCACCATTTAGTCGGGCTGGGACCCGATTTATATTTGACCGAGAGATCAATCGGCATAATGCCGAGCGGCATTATAAGAATTACAAGCATTTAAACGGCTTGAGCATCATCTCACTATATTGATAACCCCCCAAAGATGCCGACTCTGATAGTCCGGGGCTCCGGGTGTGGAGACTGGGGAACGAATTGGGGAAATTGGTGGCGGGGGAATGCGGGTCCCACTGGATGGAAATATCGCCTGACATTTTCTCCGTCCATTCAGCAATGGCTCTGGTCTAGGGTATGTTGCTTGAGGCCTTGCTTGCGAGGAAAGCCGGTTGGCGTTGGCTGGATGCATGGCTTTGGTGGCGCCCCAAGGATTATCAAAGTGTGGGGGATTGGTGATTGGTGGAAGAATTATATCCGTGTATTTCCCTTTATTCTCCATAACATGGGCTTATAGTGCAGAAAAAAATTTGGGAAACGGGATATCCCGTGAACTGATGTTGTCATATTCTAAGTGCTATAAGTATTCCCAAATTGCAAAAGGTACCATTAGGACCTAAGAGATGGGACGGTTGTTAAAACCCCCGTGTCTCGTACTACATAACTGTCATCATTGGAGCTAATGGGCTAAACGATAATATATTGGACAAGGTCATCACATAGGCGGTCCTTTGAGTATATTTTCCGAGTCTGCATGGGTGGGTTTCATGATCTGACTCAACTCATCGAAGCTGGAAGAGAAAAATGGCGGAAGAAAACGACAGAAACGCAGGAAAAAAAAAAAAAAGAAAAAAGAAAAAAGAAATCCAAACCAACCTTAGTACTTCTGTTGAAGATTCCTAGATAGAAGCCACTCCTGAGACGTTGAGGTACGGTTGGCATCGAAAGGTGGTATTCAGTATGCCGGTGGTAGTTCAGTCGTTTCATATATCTCCCCACTTCGATAATCATGAACATCAAGAAGCACCCGAATCACAAAATTGGAGTTAGCCGGGTCTGAAAATACCCCGTGCAATACCTTCCACTGGGATCGGAACGCGTCGATCTGATAATAGCAACTATCTGTCTCCGATCGATACGACAACTTCATATCATACAAATTTAATCCATAACCACCACAGGACATCATATGTCGAATAATGTCCCGGAATGATGCAGCTGTCCTGCACAGTCGAGGGTCCTGTGTCATCGTCTGATCTGCTGGAGGGAGTAATTTCCCCTCATGCACGATAGATGAGAGGACGCGGCACAGATCCGCGTTCCTATGTGTGTTTTCGTCGCTATCCCAGGTTACCTTTACCTGAATTAGGGGGATGGCTTTGGTTTTTCCCTCGGGAGATGAAGACGAGCATTGCTGAGCTAGTCTAAGGTGGTTTGGCCTTGCTCTTGTCGCTGTCGGCATCCCGCTGCCATACGTGACCGCCTTATTTTCTGAGGAGACGAAGAATCCCAGGGCCTTTTCCCAAGACTTCATATAAGGAATCCATGAGATGTATCCCAAGATTGACCAGCAGCGATCACACCTATCGTTCAGCTCGTTTCTCCAAGATATGAGCTGGGGACGGGGATGGGAAATGTTGTCTAGCGGGATATCGAGCTCCAGCATCGCGCTTAGTTCCCCGCGATATCTCCTTGTGCGGTGGAAGTTATCTAGGTCACTGGACCTGATGTACTCCTCTATGTCCTTAGACATCTGCACCAGATGCCATGCCATGATATGTTTTAGCCTCAAGGAGGCGTGCTCTTCTGACTCCCGGGAACGTTGCGGCCAAATTTCATAAGGATCTTCGATACAGGGCAATTCTTTGCCTTCCTGGATGAGATGGTTTATCTCAACCTTCAGCGAGTGAGTCTGCTTATGTGGTGCCCTAATCCAGGTCTTGATGACAGGCCAAGACAAGGCAAAATGTCTGAGGTCGTGTTTGTTCTGAAGGCCAACATACACGGCTAGCTCTGCCTCGTCACGGGAGTCACGTAGGAACATTTTGAAGTTCCCAAGGTCGTCGAGTGTGTGATCAGAATGACTCGCCGAACTCGCTCCAGTAGGCCACGGTGACTTTCCTCTCCGGAATTAGCCGTTGTCAAATACGGGGAATTTCTATGTTTGCTCACCGCAATATGAGGCACCACAGGGACCTGTAGATATTGAGATGAAGTTTCCTTGGGGAATGTGTCACCAAGATCTAGACCATCGGCTTTTTCCTGATTCTTGGAGTGAATATGCGGTATTATGGCAGGAGTACCTGCATCTTACCTTCCGCGAGACAATCCTGGCTGACTGTCTCTGGGGGATCTTCATATCCTTGGACTATGGAATTGAGAGTCAGTGCCATGGCCTCAAACATAAGTACAGAAAATTAACCTTCTTAGACATCGGGTCTTGAGACGGTGACTCGGGCCGTTTCCTCTTTCCCTTGTCATCAATTGGACGAATGCTAGTTGGGCCTGCTTCTGAACTCATGATTCCACTTTAATAATCCGAAACGATGGGATAGACGTATGGTGACTGTCTCTAGAGTATCAGCAGAAGAGGAAATTGCTGTGGCATATAGGGGAAATGTCTCTGGGAGGGCTAGAAGAAGAATTGACCGACATTATGAGAGGCTTATTCTGGTTCTGTACAAGGTGCAGATGCACACAGGAACCGGAGAAATGGTTGAGAGAGATTGCCATAATTATTTCTGACATAATCTCGCATAGTGATGTTAGTTAAGTGGCCTACTGTATTATTTTCCTTCAACCATTTCATCTGTGGCAGTGACTTAAGACTTGAACAGTTAGAATATATGTATTATGCTCGCTTCAAACGGGGGGTATACACAAATGTTGACTGTAGCCCTATGTTGCTCCTCTACCTCGTTACTCCCTCTCGTTGCACAGGGCAAGTCTAGATCTGTAAAGCATCTGGTATCCACGGGAAGTGAAATACGATTTGTTTCAGCCATCTAGCCAGCCTCAGCAAATGAGTCTATGTGAAACGGAGAGGCCCCCCACGAAACACGACGAGTGTGTGATATTATACAAGATTCCCTCACATCTAAGACAGATCTAAGAATAGCAATTCCAAGGAAGATCCCAAACCTCACAATTTCCCACGTTCCCCCAACCTGCTTTCCATGTTTTGGGGGTAAAATATGCGAGTGTGCATCCCATTGCACAGAGTAACGCAACGTGTATGGACCAGACAAATCCAAGAGTTGAACCCACGAAGAAAATAACAGGGTTAGGTTGGTCCATCTACCCAAAGGTTGGATGTTGCACTAAAACGCTTGGTGCCTGCTCAGACCTTGTCAGACCTCTCTTTGGGTCTTTATGGGGACTTTGTTTGGCTTTCTCTGATGCACTTTCCTGGGGCCAATTGTGTGTTTTTCTTCCTCTCCTTGAACCTACACAGCTAGATTTATCAGAATGAGGGGTGAAATCGATCTCCTCTGCCAGCGGAACCAGAGGCTTTGCTCTCTGACTTCGAACCCAATCTTCGTGGCACCAAGACTGCAAGGCCCTGAGTAGCAAGTATCCCAATTTTGTACATTCGATAAAACAAAGTCAATTCCGGGAGATCAAACTCGAGGCGCTGTTAGAAATTTTCATTTTTCTAAGTGACTGCTGAGTTCCAAGGTCTTGAGGGTCAGGTCAGTTTTGATCACACAACAAGGGATGGGATGTCAGATTCGTCGGGTTCGAAAGAAATATAAGGTTTACTTTTTACCTCAAACAGCATTTTCTCGAGGATTAGCCGACAATCAAAGCGATGATGAATGACATGCCAAGGTGAAATTTGTTCAAGGTGTTGAAATAGGAGGAAACCACATGGTGTCAGGGCCCCCGAGTTATTTTCCCCACAGTCCATCGCCCTTTCGCTTTTGTAAAAAGCAAATAGAATTTTGGAATTTACTAATTAGCTGCGGTCTGTTTGGACGGCCCAGAGCGAATATTAGTCCATGACAATGCCTTCATCGAGCTCGTTATGAAACGCGTTGCCCAAAAAGCAACAAAAGACACATACATCAGAAATAGTTGCAAGCCAAACCAAGGTTCGTATTGTTGATTACTATTGATCTTTAACATGAAGGAGACCATATTGTTTACACTTGGACATTATTGATGCTATGCTCGCGGAAACTGCCCATCTCACTTGAAGTTGCATAATGGGGATTCGCTAGAGCCAAATACCAAGTCGAACATCAACCCGCACAAACGTACATCACCGACTTTGAGAAGCCCATCTTGGTGGCCCAAATCCCAGACGCACCTGCCGATTATAGTGAGGCCATCCGTCTTCGAGTCCGACTGCATGGCAATCCCAGTGCCAAGGTCGCAGAGTGCGGGATGAGCTAGTCACTCGTCGTCTCATAGGACTCCTTGTTGGCTTTCCGTTGCAACATTCGTCGATACCCAAATAGTGCCATGATTCCAACCACGACGAGAAAAACGATGCAGAAAACAAGCACCACCCCGCGGTTCCTGTTAGCCCAGTTGCCCTTGTGGCCCGATCGTTCGACAATCTGATGGAGAGACAGGGATGCGGACTTGGTGTGATGGATTATTTTGATCGCCGCCATACTATCGGAATGGTGGTAAGTCAACAGTGTATTTCTGTTTTATAAGTAAGTCGTCGGCTAGATAATGGACTCATCGGCTGCCTCATTTAAGAAGAGGGGCCAAGGGCCCTGGATTGAAAGGTATATTCTCACTGGATATTGCGGCTTGGCGATCTCGATCGATGACTCGGCTATATAAAGTATATTTCAGCAATCGTTCAGATCTCATTGTATCAGAACTACATCAACGCCATGACCAATGATAACTACCGACGAAAACAACGATGGAAAGAAATATCTCAAAGTCTTGGGGGAAAGACACCTACTGTCGCACCAATAACAAGACAACTGTAGAAGACGAGCTCAGACCACAGTGAGATTAAGACTGACTGGTAAATTGCAATGGATTCTCAATGATTGATCTAGCAGATGATGGTGATTTTGTCCGGGGGATGTTGGGACAAGTGCTCAAGCTCACCAGCGTTGCTTTCCCTCATCAGGGGAATCTCCGGCACGCGACGGACAAGGATCATTGCCAATCGATGATGCTGGCTCTCCTGGTACCTAGCATCGTCCTTAGTTGACCTTTAAGCTGAGACAGGCTCCAAGTTTGATTGGAGCCCGGTAATTCTTTACCGTGGCTATTGCCCTTTGAAGGCTAAAGATACCAGAAGGCAAGCTCCGCGGTGCTCCGATATGGAAGCACAAGCTCTAACTGCCTTTACAAGCCCATGGCGAGCTGTAAACTCGATGTAATTTGACCAGTCGCTATTTATGTAGTTTGCGAATCAAAGAAGCTTGTGGTCGAGTGTGCTGGAATAACCGCATGTGGTGCAACGACTACGACCAACAAACTAGGAATTCCGGACACCTCTGTGGTCGTACCGGCACTGCTACGTCACCCATCAATCATGTTCTAAGCTTGGCTCGTCAGGTACCTGGTGATAGCCTAGTTTAATATGACTGGCCTTTCTGGAAAATGGGGGTCACAATGTCTATCATTAGTAACTATACACAGTGGTGAGTATATTTTTGACCTCGCAGTAGACCTGAATATAGACACTCTTTGAGAGTCATGATAATCAACTATATCGTCTCTAGCAAGAACTTTGTGCGCATCATACCTTTGAGAAAACGTGGTTTGACGTCATATCTGGTCGCATGAACTGTTGGCAATAGTTAAAGGCCACCTGGGCAACTACAACATACTTTGTTACTGATCATTGCCAAAGCAAGGGTGAAAAATCACATACAATCACATGTTGCTGTTGATTGCATTCACGCCCGTGCACAAAAGACAACGGTCTATAAACCATTGTGGCTCAGGCATCCGAAATTTAGCCTTTACCAAAGAAATGAACGCACATCCACAAATACAAGTGAACGATTTCGGAGCGCAGAGAATCATATTCAATCGCAACAGAGTCCCCCAAAGTTTAATTTCCACTTAAACCCCTATCAGAAGCCCAACTCCTTGATGCGACCAAGCATTGTCGTCCCGCAACTCTTGGCAGTGCCGTGCGTTTTTTTCCCCCCTACTCAATGATGATCTGTAAAAGACGAAAGGAAAGAGAGTAACAAACTGCTTATATACTGCCTTACAGAAAGTAACATGCATTTATCTTTGTCTTCCCCCACAATACAGCAGATAATACGATGGTCTACTGTTGAAAACTTTTTTTTTCACATGCTCATCACCTCGTATTCGGCACACAGGGCACCAATCACCATACCCCACAGACGAAATAGCTGCAAGCCGAGACTCCAATTTTGCAGTTTTCGCAGCATATGGACAGAAATAGCTAAAGTACTCCGTATTCTGATTAAGAGTATCATTCTGACAGGGATGGTACGAAGTAAGAGCACAGGAATGCTGCACCCCGTATTCTCGGAAATGGTCAGCCACCAGGGGCTAGATATTGACTTGCATGGTATATTCACGCTATACAGCCACCACACGAAGGTTATTAGCACACATCGAGATTGGAATCGGGTTTAAGTGGTGACTGTTTTAGGTTGTGACTACGGGATGGAGCAATTTGATTCTCCCACGACCCACGCGACTAATTCATACTGACAAAATCTCCCATCCTAGAGATGCACTAGAGACCGCGTTAATCTGCATTTCAAACTAGCTCCTTGGTCTTCGCCCGTCTTTTCCCCACCCGGTATAGATCGGCCGCTACAGTCATCTTAGGGTCCAAAACCAGGGGCTTTAACTGGCTTCAGGCATAGGCTAGAGAATACCCACCACGGACGAGGCTCATTTCAATACGAGGTTTATTCTCTGCAAATTAAACAAGCGATCAGGGTCCCTGCGCTCTGTATATTACGACATGTTGCCCCCTCACACATTTAACAACTGAAAGTCTAATCCTACCGATCTTGTTCTTCTTTCTGCCTCGATTCACCTTTCAAAAGACACACGTCGCCATGATACTACCACTACACGCACTGTTCCTAATTCCACTAGCCAACGCATGGACCTTCAGCTATACCAATTCAACCGATGCTACTGAAATAGCCCGCGGCAACGAGGCACAGAACTGCACAAATTCCCCCATCGGCAAAGAAAAGCCCTTTTCCTGGGACCCTGAGGGATCAGATCTATGTGTCTCGATATACCGCGACACCAAGTGTGCTTCTAGGGCGGGATACTCGTGCGGAGTATGGAGGAAGAATGCTAGTGAATCCTTTGCAGCTTTTGATGTCCTGCTTGAAAGGGAGATTGATGCCAAACACCAAACTACTACGCTGACTTTGGAGTCTACCTCTACATCGGCCACGACATCTACGTCTACATCTACATCTACGTCCAAGTCCTCATCTTCATCCGTGTCCTCGACATCCGCATCCGCAACCACAACCCCCACCGAGTCCGCAGTCTCTGCAGGCAATGTCAACAGCGGCTCCTCTAGTCCATCACTATCCGGCGGCGCTATTGCGGGTGTTGTCATTGGCGTCGTAGCTGCTGTCGCCATTATCATCGCCTTCGTTGTCATCTTCATGAGAAAGAGGAACAAACAGAATGCAGCGGTTGCTAACCAGCATGGTGGGTACGGGCCCCATGAAGCGGATGCTACTGGATCATCCATCAGCGGTTCTACGGCCGTTGCAGAGAAGGGAGCAGACCCTGGTGCCCGACCATTCAGACCTCCGCCTGGATCCCATGTTGTTGAGTTGCCTGGTGATGAAGGGAGTGCCGAGCTGGGCAGCAGTCCAATTAGTGAGATGGATGGGAACAGCACCAAACGTGATTTTCATCGGTCCTGAATTCCCATGTGTAAAGATTACGGTTTCTGAGAGTTGAAGTTGTTGCTATGTCAAAGTGTGGTTGGTCTGGGTCTTTTAGTAGCGAGCGGGTTTTGGGGGCTTTTCTCTTCTATGCGACTTGATGTTGATACATCAGCTTTGTGTTCTGGATAATTCATACACATGTATCTATTAATCTATTTGTTTAATATCTCTATATATATAAACCGTTGTATGGAAAGGTGTGGTAAGGACACTATGTTTGTTTGTGCATATGTAATACCTTACCGAAAAGTATCCCCAAGCTACCTACCTAGGTACACCCAACAAGTATATAAGGATTACTACATCCAACAAAATGCTTATTTCTTTGCTCATCTAGGTTTCCGATTTGTTCTTCCTGCGAAATTGCTTCACTATTCCTTGACTTCCCTTTCACCGTTACGCATTCCCACTTTTCCTGCTTTACAGCTAGCTTGTCTTCCACAAGAGAAAACCGTGATCCTGGGAATGCCGATGCGGGGCAGCAACCCCGTATGCAGAGAGCTCTCTTCACCAACTATCGTGAGCGCGCCATGTGCCATTCTGTCCTCACTTATTGTGGCCATGACTGTGAACTGGCCAGAAATGCATATGGAATCCAGGGGGCAGTCACTGCTTTTCTGATGTTTGTTGTCAGACCCCACTGTCATGATCAGTTATCCAAGAAGGTTTCTAATCTGACATCTTCGCAGGAGTCTAGTTCTCCCTTCCCCAAACGCCCTGTGGGAGATGCCCCATGATACCAACACAGCTGACGGAAATGTCTTGTCCCGGACCCCCGCTTAAACCCCCTACCAATGTCCATGTTCAGAGCCTCCTGCCGACACCCCCACAAGTGCAAGGAGGATTCGAACCTTAGGGATTCCAGGGTTTAATCGAAGCGACAGCGTCAGTCTCCTGTAAAGGTTGCTCTGGGATAAAGCGGGTCTGCTACAAGGTGCGTTTTCGAAACTCTGAACAGGTGGGACGATATCTAGTTGTTTTTAGCACTTTCAATAAACGAGGCTAACAAATATGACGACACCATGCATGGATGGCCTGAGGAAAGAGTTGATACTGACAGCCGCGCCCTACACCGCACTTTTTATTAACTTATTGAGTAGAATGTCGGGCAGCCTGTCAACCGTCAAGCAGCTTGATGTGAGTATGGATGATGCAGCTTGTGGGACAACTTGGAGAGTCCAAATACGAGTGCTGTCTCAAGGCCAAAGGACCTATCACCTACTGCTGTCATATTGATGCTATGGGATTGCCCAAATCAGGCGATAACTGTCTCTGGAGGCACCACTCCAGCCGACCCTGCTCCATCACTCTTGCTACACCTAGTAGCCACCGTCACTGTCAAATCCTCCCTCAATCCGCCAAATTCCCCATGAATCAATTCAACAGGCCTCAGGTTCTACCGAGTCAAGCGTTCTGCGTAGACATTTGCTTCCAGAGCTGCAGCCTTTAATAAAGAGATATACGAGAAGCCACGTAAAAATCACTGCAACCCAGTCAACCAATTTTTCCAGTTCCGCCCACCCAGATTACTGCAATACCACCTCAGATTAGAATTCACGTATTGGCCGGACTATATATCACTTTGAATAACTTATCCTTCAAATTCGCTATTCGATGATGCAACATGGAGGACCAGACCAATCCGAGGAAACTATGGGCCTGCCATATATATTTATTCGAGGTTTACAAATCTTTAGTTCTCTTCGCCTGAACCTGATCAAAATATTCATCGACGGCACGCCGGACGAAGCTTAGACTCTGAGTATATAAAACGGGCTCTAGCTAAGGCACATGTCTTAATCGGACGTTATCGTGAATCCCCAGTGGGATGGCTTCGCGGGATGTAGGCTTTCGGCTGGTTCAGTCTCGTCTGTGGAGGATTTTCAAACCGGCCAGGCTCTATCTTGAGTTTGAAGAGGACTCAAGATATCTCCAAAGATCCATTCCTCATGGTTATCATCTCATGGTTATCACCTACAGCTCTTTGTCAGAAGCTAGCTAGCTTTGACCCAAGTCCAGAAGAACAATGGAGAGGCTCAGGATCTAGCTTTGAATTGTCGCCACCAGGTTCCTTAGGAATGGAACTAAATTCCATGTCGTTGATTTTTAGTTCGACCACCGGTCTCAGAAAAAATATCGGATTCTACCTCTAGGGCCCAACTTTATCAAATAGGCCTCATGCTGATCACATGAGTGGCCATTTCACCATCTCCTGGATCCAATTACTCGCACGAGAAAGCGAAAAAGTAACACTAACCGATGATGGCTCGTTGCCTTGCCGGCCTTCTTTGATATCCACGATGCCAAGCAACGCAGATGGCCATGCTGCAAAGTCCAGGTGGTTATGCAAATATCCTGCATGCCTTGCTCAAATACAAGGTACACGGCAGACGCAAGTTGACGCCTTGGCCCATTGTAAGGTGCATGTCCAACAAGGTAACTCCAACGTTCAAAACCATCCTAACCGACAGCCGAAAGGACATCCGCTCGTCGCAAGCAAATTCGGGGTGCCATTTATCGCCGTCTATAGTGACTATTATTCGCTGACCGACCAATATCTGGCTGCTTACGTCTGGCTGCTGGACAAACGAGATAACATAAAGATTTATCAGACAAGGAATTTTATTTTGTGAAACTGGTAGCATCACTCGACCAGAGCCTGGCCCCATCCAGAGGTGCCATTAACTTTGACTGGTCTGACGAAAGAGAAACAGTCTTACCCTGGCGGGCGCGATAACAAGAGACGAGGCTTTGGAGTGTCCACCACTGAAGCTTGTTCGAAGCCATTGGCAAGGTATCATCGTTGATTGCGTCCGAGATTGTTCATGCCGGGGCTGTTCTTGAAGTGGGATCATGTGTAGCGCCATCTAAATTTCAAGCCGGGCACACAAGCATCACATCAATTATCGATCGTGGCAGAATTTTAACCTATTGTTTATCTCAATGATACAGTCTTCCCTTTATCGCACCAGGGGGAACACCTTGTGCTGCAGTGGTTAGGGCAAGACATCCTACGTCAGCTTCAGGCTGAACATCCCCAAGCCATATTTTCGTGTCTCGCATATTCTTCGACCATTCATCTGAAGACCATGTAGAAGACCCAACAATTCCTTCGGTCTTATTTTGCAACAGGGCAACGGAGATAGATCCTAAGAGGTCGGGGGCGATCGTTATGATGTGGAGGTAGGCGCCCACTAATGCAAAGCAGAAGATAACCACCGATGAAATAATAAGGACGGCAAGCCATGGACGGTTACACCTGACAATATTTTGCAGATGGGTATTTTTGGCAGCGAATTTGAACGGGGTATCCTTGATTGTGCTTCCTTTCTGTGTGATTTGCGTCATGTTGACAGAGCCCGTGAATGCCGATGGGCTGATTCCAAGATAGAGCACAGAATTAAAGATCTGCGACAGACGCGTTTCAAATACTTTCGCCGTTGTCGTCTCAGGCGACATAAGACTCTCGCCGAAAAAGCTTCCAACAGCGTGAAAAGGGTCGATAAAATATCCAATTAATGGCTGTAGACCGCCGTTCTCGTCCATGTGTGGAAACATGGTAGTAAGGAGCTCAAAGAGTCCATTGTTATAGCCTTTAGGTAGCTTGATATCTCCTGAGATATTGACATCGAAAACAGTCCAATTCTTGTGGAAGTGGGATGTATCTACCGACCGACGAGCGGAGCGTAGGTTGCAAGTGTTTGTAGACTGATTCTCGTCTAAGCTCTCACATGTTGCGTTGGCATCGACGTATATTGTAGTGATGTCGCATATAGCTCGCGTGATGGGGGATCGATGCTTTTCAGGGCCTGCATAACCACGATCCCATGATTCCCATATCAACTTACGGGCGTTCCGAGTCCTCGTCATTGATGCATTGAGTGAGTTCGAACATGGCTCCGAGAGGGCGATCAGGAACTGCTGTCCACCCCATGCGCTGGTCCAGCTGCAATCATTCCCATTGCCAGGAGATGGAGCATCCGGGCCGGTGAAATTAGTGAAATTCAGACCGTGTATTGTGTCGAAGACGGGACAGGTGATGGATAAATAGGAGCCTAGGAGAGTAAAGGATGTGTTGCCCGATCTAGGTAGATCAATCACTGGCACGCCGACGAGAGACGCGTACGTCATGTTGTTGCTTTTGGGCACATTCATCCAACCTGTACTGTTTTTCTCGAGGTTCTCGATCACAGGGAACCTAATGTTGCCCCAGAGATCTTGGTTTCGGGTTGCAAGTAGCGAGGCCGCGGAAATGGATGCAGTCATTGGATTAGCAACTGATGTTATGGCCTCCGTTGCCGCTTGATTATAGCCGTACTGGTACGGGGTGAATGTGTTGAAACTTGTCAACTCAACCGGTTTACCTGGGTAACTCGGGACGATGGAAATTACCCGGAGAGATGCTTGACTACCTAACGGAGACAAGCACCACAGCAGTACGGTAAAGACGGCAACGAAGTTGACAGCACGCAGTCTGATTTGGGTGAGAAACGCTCCTGTGATAGTCTGGCTGCCGAGACATTGCTCTACTAGCCCGATGGTCGCTCCTCGAGTGGTCTGGATGCGCCATGATGCAATACTTTTGATGCTGCTACCGGCAATGGCAGCAAAAAGGACCGGGAATACAGTGGGCGCCTTTAAGAGGGAATGTGGTGTCAGCTGGGTCTGTTTGACGAGAATGAGAGGACGAGTGTAGGATCGGGGCAGCTAACGTATTGAGAGACCTCAAATAGTTTAGAACCTATAGATTCTGGGCCGGCCTTTTTTCCGTCGATACAAACAACCCATATACCGAAAACTGTGAAGAGGGAGGCTATAATAGCGAGAACCAAATCCCATAGTAGACGAGTAATTCTATCAAACCGAGAAGGCCTGAGGGGCTGTGGTTGATACCTCTGCTCGTCGATCTCGGGAAGCTGGATTGTTTCATAATATTGGAATTCTGATGGTCTTCGATTTGAGTGGTTTTCCTCTAC